AAAGCCCTGCGCAAACAGGCGGTCTGGGGCGAGGAAAAGGATCAGAAAGAGTATGGAAGGGGGCTAGTGCCCCAGGAACTTATATGGATAAGAGACTGTAGGATAGCTAACGGCCTCAAGTCCACGGATAATGGTCTGTCATAGCTCTAGGGCTCGGTATGGACAATAAACTTGATTAAATAATAATAATATCTATTCTTCTAAATGCTGGCGGAAACTCTCAAACATGGTTTTAAATGCTGACTCTTCTCTCGACAGGAGTGACTCTGGCGTATCAAATTCAATAACCCTTCCATGATCCATAAACGCAATCTTATCAAAATGGAGGACCGTGTCGAGCTTGTGCGCAATGGCAATGATAGTTTGGTCTTTGAAGTGGGTGCGAATGATCTGCTGCATGAGCTTATCTGTCTCCGAGTCCACACTAAAGACTGTTAATGCATGGCTTTGGAGAACTTGACATCGACTTACGACTTACCTGCTTGTGGCCTCGTCCATAATGAGAATCTTGCTGGATCTGCACAGGGCCCGGGCAAGGCAGAATAGTTGTTGTTGTCCAAGGGAAAGGAAGTCCTCTGACATATCCGCATCTAAGCCTCCCTTGGGCTCAAGGTGAGACCAGAGATTGACCTTTTGGAGCGCATCAATAATAGCGCTATCTTGCACATCTCCATGGGGGTTGGCATTGAGTCGAACAGTGCCATGCAGGAAAAAGGCCTGCTGTGGAATTGTATTGAGACACGAGCGAACATGCGATCTGGAGGCCCTTGAAATGTCTATAGCATCAATGCGGATCGTACCGGAGTTGAGGTCGAGAATCCGTAAGAGTGTTGAAACAAGCGAAGATTTGCCACTGGGAGAAAATGAGCATTAAAGCTTGAGTGGCAAGGATGATAATGTGTTTAGCCTCGAAGGATAACGAACCTGCCCGTTCTACCGCACAGAGCGACCTTTTCCCCGGCACAAATCTTGAGATTAATATCTTGAAGAACTGGCTCCGATAATGCGCTGCTTTGATGTCAATGATGTTTCCTCCAGTTCCTGGTGGCGCATCACTTACTCATATGAGGCAGATACCCCGAGGATCTCAACATCACCTCTCGCCGGCCAGAAGCTTGGTAAGACCTCGGACTCGGATTCTAGATTTTCTGTTTTGGCATTTTGCACGTAAGAGCGGATGCGAGACACAGCTCCAATTGAAGTTTCCAGCCCCGTCCACTCTGTAACAAGGGTCTGCAAGGTCGCGCTGAAATTACAATGTTGAACAATGCAATACCAAACAGGTTAAACGAAGAGCTCCCTCTCATCGATGTTGCAGTTACAATCACAGCTACTGCAATGCCCGCAACGATGAGGTCAAGAACGAGACTCAGCCATCTCTGTATGCAGTAGAGCATGTAGAATGGGCGCTGGGACGCGTCCAGAGCAATCTGGTTCTGCAGCCGATAGTGCTCTGACCATCCGTAGGCTCGAATACTAGAAAGGCCACTCAATGCTTCGAGAAACTGGGAGAATAGAGGTGCCTTGGCTTCGATTTCCAGCAAACGGATTTGTCGAGATGTGCGGATATAGTACCATGCCACATAGTAGACTGCCAAAACACAAAATGGGATGACCGCCACCGTCACGTACGACGAGCCAACAAAGACCAGGTACGCTTCGATGATGCAGCTCAGAACCGTGTGAAGTGTAAGTTTGAAGGAAGAAGGTAGCTCCTCGTCAATTAATTCCAGATCCTGGCTGAATCTAAGTAACGACTAACATTAGCATTGATAGACGAAATGGTAACACTGATTCCTACCTGTTTGTCGTAGCACCTGTATCGGTCGATGTCAGGAACGACGTAGTCGCTCTGAATAATTATTAGAGATGTCGGTTGAAGCAAGGTGCGGTAACTTGCCTCATAGTTGTTCCCAGCAGAATTTCGTGAAAACGGCGAGCTGTTTTGGGTACAATTATCATTCCAAAGACCCTGGGAATTTCTTAGCTGATTGTCATGAAATAGCGAGAACCGACGTACCAGTTGGCGAGAAACGTGGCAAGCAGCGTCAAGACCCCAAGCGCGCCATACCCACCGAGCCAGTATCCAACGTTTTCATTGGGTCTCTCTTCATTGGCGCGAGTCCACCATTGAAGCCATATTTCTAGATACCAACGTGAGCGGTGGACCGATATGGATTTGGTAGGTCACGTACGTGGGAAAATCAACCCAGAGACGAACAAAGCGGAACATCCGAGAAAAAGTAGTAAGAGGGGCCAGCCGATATTTTGGAAATAGTACAGGTAGACTGACCAGCCCCCTACCTGTCGGCTTGTGTCATCAACTTTGTCGTCATTTGGTAGTTTGAGGTCTTGTAAAGTTTCATCGTCCAAGACTGCGTCTGGAGGTCTCTCGGTATTGACCATGCTAGTTGTGCTAGCAAGACTACTAACATAGCCTTTTGCAGCGACCAGTTCGTCGTAAGAGCCTTGCTCAACTATGTGTCCATTTTCACTCAGAGAAATGATGAAATCTGCGTAAGGAAGATGGTGTACTATGGAGATGTCAGTTGAGTTCAGATTAGGAAACTAGAGAAAGAGAACGCATTCAGACCTGAATTAGTCGCTAGGATTGCCGTTTGACGGATATCTTTGATGAGACCGTGTTGCGCGAAAACTGCTTCCAAAATACACTTCTCTGTTTCCCGATCGAGACCGGTGAGGACGTCATCCAGGAGAAGAACGGGCTGCCTCGAGTAGAGAGCTCGCGCTAATGCCTGAAGCAAATTTCAGACAGAGTAATAATAAGGTCAGGATGGAGAACACCTACCACGCGCATTTGCTGCCCACCACTAAGTCGTGACCCACGTACACCGACTTTGGTCTGATCACCGAAAGGAAGCTGTTGAAGATCAAGTTGCAAAGAGCAGGCCTGAACAATGCGGTCATAATAGCGTTGGTCCAGCTGAGATGCTCCAACTATGTTTTGTCGGACTGTGCCAAACGTGATCCAAGGCGACTGACTACAATAGGCCGCATTCCGGAAAGTGGTCGAGATCGATCCAGTACATTCAGGAACTTCACCCAACAGCACTTTCAAAAGGGTAGATTTGCCACTGCCAACGGGCCCAACAATCATGGTGGTCCCTTCAGCTGGGATCTTGAGGTCCAAGCCCTTGATGACTGGTTCGTCATCAACTGACCATGCCGCAGACAAGTTTCGAATGACGGCACTAGACAAATGCTGACTACCCTCGTCGTCTGTAGAATCAATATAAATCAGCTCTGTCACTTGGGATTCATGGTTAATGCGGTAGTCAGTCCTCTCCGTCTCAAGGAGATGCTTTTGGATTCGTTGGAAGCAATTCACAACCGCCATGAGATCTTCCGAGCCGTAGACAAATGAAATCATAGGTTGGTCCAGCAGCGAGAAAAGCGTCAAGGCCGAGAAAGCAATGCCGTTTGTTAGTGTTGCACCGTCGTGCGCACGAGCCAGAAGGATATAGACACCAAACCCGAAGACCGGAGCCAAAGCAGAAGAGCCGTACGCTGCGAAGACACTGTCAGCAAATTTTCTGCCAATGAAAGGGTGTTGACCAACAAAAGGTTACGACCAAGACAGTATAAAGTCGATAGGGTAATGAGGCTTTGATCTCCTGCGATCGTAGTTTGCGAACGTTTTTTGTAATGACATCCGTCAACCCGGTCATTTTAATGTTTTTCATGACACCGAGAACCTTGGAGGTGACTGCAACACGCTTTTCGACAGCCTCCAGCCATATGCCTTGGGCATTGCCAGAAGCGACGGCGAGTGGGATGCCAGCAACCAAGCATACTTTTGAAGAAACATTAGCTACACGCCTTCTCTTCCCGTAAGGGTATATGCTCACCTATCACAACTAGCGTAGATGCTACTGTGGCGATTTTGAGCAATCGCGCTAGCAGCCACAGCGCGAGTACAACCTCAGTAAAGTTAGAGTAAATCTCATGCATATCTCTCAAACCACTTCCTATTCGCTCAATATCAGTGCTCATCAAGGTGATGGCAGATGCATCAGATACAGCTGAGGTGCTCATCCGCAGTGTCTTGTCGAAAATCAGAGCGACCAAGCTCCCTCGCATCTTAGTTATCATTCGATCGATTTTATGGTGATAGGTAGCGAATGAGATCTGTAATGATATTAGTCGATTCGGTTCGTAATCCCTCTTAATCTCTAGCTATGAAGCCGGTCATTTCACATACTGCAAGGCCAAAATAGACGATTGCATATGCTCCAACGAGGCCGCGAGCATATTTATCCGAATTGACATGTTCGGGCTCGGTCATGAAGTCAAGCACCCGTTCAACCAGAAAAGGCTGTGCGAAGCAAAACCCAGTAAACGCGAGACGAGGCACAACACCTGCTAGGAAGTCCCATTTGAAATGAGCAGCAAAGGTCCATAGCAGCGCATTCGATTGGTACTTGTTGGCTGTAACAGAATGTTAGATCCCGGAAGCCAAGAAAAAATGAACGGCTAGAAGGCACCTTTAATCCATCTTTCCACCAGCTGTCGAGGATCGGAAGCTTCTCTGATGTCGTCGGCAAGAACAGGCAAACTTTCGACTGTGAGAGTGGTTTTCAATCCTTTCCAAAGCAAATCATTGATCCACCAGAAGAGACAGCGGTTGATGATTCCGCCCGTCGTCTCGATTGCGCTTCCCTCGAATTCTTTCTTAAGTAGATGCCTTTTTTCTATCGATTCAAACACCAGGATGACAGCCTTATCCACCACACTTACAGCAAACAGGAGCGTGATCGGTCGGTTATCTGGTATAAAATGAAGCGTGCGAAGTCGTGCAAGGTCGAAAGGAATGGTGAGCCCGAAAAATAAACAAAGAATTGATGAAGGGCGCAGAGAACGAATATGCTCGAGGTGGGACAAGTAGAGAAAGAAGCAGAAGGTGATTACGGCTGCGATAGCAGTTGGTACGGTGGCTCGCGTTGTTGGAGTAGAAGATTGACACCAAATGGCCAACATGACCAATTGAACCGTTATATGCAACAAGAGAGCAATCTAAATGCTATTTAGTGCGCGCCTTTTGGTAGAATCGATGCTTGGCATACCTCTTTTGCGGCGTAGAGCCATGACCGATTGGCCTTCTCCGAGGCGTGCCGGAGGTTCCAAGCGCGGATGGGCGCCGCGAGCCAAGCGAGAATGATAGGCAACAGGGTCAAAATCATTTCCTCGAACAAAAGAGTAAAGTCAAAGCCATGGTGGCAGGAGTCGTCAATGGTCGGGCCGAAGACATCCTCGTCTGCTGCGGAGCACGGCAGCCACGCCTGAAACATGGCCATTGAGGTTGTAGAGATGGCACAACATCAAAATTGCTGAAAGATGCAGGAACATATAAACTCTTATAAAGCGGTCCAGGAAATCACGCATGGCGTTGCAGAAGCAGAGGATCGCGGATGCTTAGGGCAATGTGGGTCTGGATTGCTGGATGCGCGGCGTTGACTGGCGGATGCGTCGATGATCTCTCTAGCTTGAGGTTCCGACTCACGCTGACTGCGTTTGACTCAAAGCCTCATTATCGGCTTGGCAATCAGTGAGTCATGCTGGCGACCCATTTTTCCAGGCAGTTATATCACAATATCACAGACCAATGAGAGCCCTTTCTCTATACTTGGAACAACTGCAGCACCATGAACTGTCATTGACGAGGAACAAACCACATGTCAACAAACCAAACTGATAATTAGAGACAGGAATCAGAAATTATGTGGTTGAAAACTTGTGAAGACCTTCCGGAAGGTGGTAGTCATGAATCTTCATAGATGAAGGGCGTGTAACTACATGGCTAACTAACTTAGGCCACAACAACGTCCGGCAAGAATGGATATAGGGTGAGAGTTGGTCAGAGAGAATTCCAAGCCCGGGCTAACAAGGGGGCCCCTAATCGCTTGCTAGTCCGGGGGCGGCTCCATCCTACATTTCCGCCCTCAGTCCTGCTGGGCAAAAAGCCGAGGCAATAAAACATAAGGCGTCACTCGGGCCAACCACTTATCCGATCAATCCTTATCAAACGTGACCAGGCCGTCACAGCACCAGCAGAGGCCCCATTAGAGACCCGACAATTGAGATATACTACCCGGCTACTCAATCTACCGGGAAACCACCCGACTAAGAAGATCCTCCCAGTGAGCTTCCGAGAAGGGATCAGCACGCCCAGCCCGGGGAGCAGACTGTCACGGAGTACGGGCATTCACCAACAACGCAAGATGTTTGTATACTTTGGCCTTGTTTGGATATAGTGCAGGAACCCCCTTCGCACACTAGATAGTGCAGCGCTGGCAGAGCCCAGTTTCTTTCTTTCCTTCTCCATGTTAGTATTTCGATAGAGAGTACCAATAAATTTATATTGTTCGAGACTGTCACACGGACTCCAGGGAACCGGAGATGGGCTGACAGCAGCAACCGGGGCCCATGGTCCCTAGGACAACACCTAGCTCGACATTTAGCCAATATCCTACCAGCTAACCCATCCGAGAGCTTTGAAAGCACAATACAGACAGCCAGTAGCCAGTTCCCAGGCCGAATAGAGGTGCTACCAAGTCCAGAAGCCCTAGCAGCCGCACAATCTCTCTCTCACTCCTGGATGACAATCTGGTCAGACGGCTCAAGATCAGAAAACGGCAGGTCACAGATGTGGCGCAGAATTGCGTGGCAAGAACCAGGAGGAGCCTGGAAGACCCAGGGGATCCCGTTGGGCAAGGGATATGAGGTCTTTGACGCAGAGCTTCGTGGAGTCGTTCAAGCACTCCAGGTAGCATGGAAAGTGGAAGATCAGAGACCAGTCACTATTCTGCTGGACTCCCAAGCCGCCGTGACAAGGCTGCAACATTCCCAGCCAGGGCCAGGTCAAGCATTAGTGACCCAAGCACATGCTATAGCCAAGAGATTACATGCCCAACGTCGCCAATTCACCATACAATGAGTTCCCAAACAGAAGCTGTTACAACACAGAAGCAGATCCTACAGTTGCAGTAGCTCCCAGGCACCTGACAAGCCGCTATTTTCAATTGTATTCAGGACATGCAGCCATTGGGATATATATCTACACTGGATCCAGGCCCAGGAAGACGCAACCTGTCAAGCATGTGGCGTATCAAGAGAGACAATACACCAACTTCTCTTTGAATGCCGGAAGTGGCGACACCAACGAAATAAGCTCTATAGGGATCTGGAGATGGATGGGTTGTGAGACCCACTGCCGAGAGGAGCACCCGCAAGGACGACTTTTAGGAGAGCCCAAAGCTATCAGGGCGCTGCTACAGTCCCTAGCCAGTACCAGTGTAGCTTTACCCGGAGCATACCTACAGCAAACGGAGGAAAGGGCCCAGAGGGAGGATGAGTGGGAACTGGAAGTATTGGAGGAAGCAATCAGAACAGGAGAAGGATAGCAGGGAGAGTAGCCTAAGCTGAGAGTCAGCCTAGGCCACACCCATCTTGCTCCGAAACACAATGAGAGCACTGTGCTCGAAATTCCTGCGCATATAGGCGGCAGGGGGCAAGGAAAAGGATTAGAGATTATATAGAAACAAGAGGCCGAAAGTTAGCTACTAGCCTCGAGTTCATGAGATACGGTCTGTCATAGCTTTAGGGTTCGATATGGACAATAAACTTGATTGCATAATAATAATAATACAGGTCACTAAAAGCAGCAGAAGGTACGACTGCACCTGGAAAGATGGACTTCCTACCCAGAAATCAATATAAACAACCAAAGTAATACCTCAACCACCCAGATATTTTCAACATGCCTGAATCTATATTAGAATGCTTCCACTGTTTTATTACCAGCTCCCACAGCTCCCTTTGCCATCTCTCCCGCATCCTTGATCAAATCCGGTACGAGACCGTCCTAGCCTTTCTTTTTGAGGCCTGAAATCAATCTCACTGTCCGACAGGCGCTAAGTTGTTTTTTTGAATGTTTACCACCAAACCAGCTTTCAAAATTTTTGGGATCCTTATGCTTCTTCTTCCCCGAGCCGTGTTTCTTCTTTTCCTTTGTTAATTTTGGGAGGCCTAATTTCCAGAAACTCCACCCATAATGATAATTATAAATTGATCTCAATTCACTAGGTCCTTCATCAGAACCAGCTCCTCCCTTTTCGTTGATGATGTATTCGGATGCAAAAAGCTGAAGTCCGCGATTAGGGATTCGGCACACGGTAGGGTACCAAAGCCACTCTGGCCTTCCATCTTTCACATCTTCTAACATACTGGCATTTAGAGCCATGGCGAAGCTTTCCTTGCCATCGTTGGTCTTGCCACCTTCGTCCCTAATGACCTTGAATGAACTGTTGCATCAAGTAAGTATAAAGTGCCTTGGCATTTGCTGGGGACACGGAACGTACGCAGTACTGACACCCATGGGCATCTTTTCGGCAGAAGCGACGCCGATTTCCACCATCCCTGAGTCCATATTCTTGAGGCGGGTGGAGTTAAACCACATGAGGCGGCCAAAGACGTCGTAGCTGAACTGCTCCTTCTTCACGTCCAGAGCGCCCCAGGGTGCGCTGAGGTCGTGATCGGCCGAGTTGTCGCTCATGTAAACTCTCCCATCCGTTCCCGAGACGAGAGTGGCCGTCATTTCAGCATCCTGAACCACTCGGAATCCATGAGTCTGGGGCATCTTCTCGGTGTTTCCTTGTTTACCCTTGTGCTTCAACGCGGTGGCATGTTGGTCGCCCAACTCGATCTTGTCCGGTGAGGTGACATTCATCGATTTTTTGGACGCAATCATGCCGTTCAATTGTTTGCTAACCTCTTTTCCAACGCCAGTCTCGAAGCCATACCCATCCAACACCTTGGTCTTCTCCACGTCTTTGGAGGACCACACCTGTTCGCGGTCGGGGCTAAAAGAATCTATTAGTTCCCTGTCCTTCTCTCTTATTTGAAGGGGTAAAAGCCTCTTACTGAATACAACCGAGACCAACATCTGCAAACGTTGTTCCCAATTCCTTGAACTCCCATTCCCTCAACCCGAAAACGGAACTGTAGACGCGATTTTTTGCCCCAGCTCGGAGCTCTATCCCACTGTCGCAAGCTTTGAGTTCTTCCGTGTCGTCAGACTTTTTATTCTTCGAGTACTCCGCAGTAAGGTAGACTGAGGGGGCCGTGTAGATTCCTGCTGATGTTTTGTAGGTTCCAGTAAGCACATCCAAAGCGACTTCAATGCCAACTTGCAATGCCAAATCGGCTGTCACCACAATACTAGCGCTCGGGTCAAAGACAAATTCAAAATGAGGCTCCCAGCCTTGAGCAACATTCTGGTCGGGGCTCTTTGCATCCAACGTCACGTTGCCGGGTGAGATGGTGAATCTCGGACCAGCTTTAATGTCAATAGATCCGTCCGCATAGAGACTGGCCTGTGGTTCTACCACTACCTGCGGCCCGATAGTGAGTAGCCCTGGAATATAAAGTGGGCTGAGAGGGATGCTGGCAATCTGTTTGGATACCGTGCTTTTCAGTCCCTGTTTGCCGTTTGCGCCTGTTCCACCTTCTCCGATAGCCCGGCCCTGTAGTTTTAAACCAAAGATGGCTTCCAGCACAAACTCCTCATTGTTGATTAAGGAGACCTGAGCCTTAGTGAGACCGTCGGCGATACTGAAGGCAAGTTTGCCTTCAAAGGTAAAGCTTCCCTTGGTGCCACAGGCGTCGCAGTTGAGATATAATGATCCGCCAGATTTTGAATATACCGCCTCCAGACTGTCCTTGAGGTCTTTCCCCTTCAGACCAGAGCTTATTGCCTCATCCTCCGTGATGAGGCCCTTCTTGATTGCGTCTTCGACTCCAGCAACTGTACCGGGAATGTTCGAGTTCGCAACCGCACCAGCGATCGTGGTGGCGGGGTCGGACCCAATACCAATCCACTTGGGTACATAGTGATTGAAGTTAATGTCCGCATGATACTCCTGATCGAAAGGGAATCCGAAAGGCACCAGAAGGAGCTTTACAGTTGTCGCTGCAATGATAATCATGGCCTTGGCGATAGTGATAATCAACCTAATTTGTGCCTCAACCTGGAAGGCAACTAACTATAGCAGGGGATTTCTGTCAGCACTTGCAATGCATTATGTGGACGAGCAAAAAAAAAAAAAAAAAAAAAAAAAAAAAAAAAAAAAAAAATAGCACTTACATCAATCAGAGCCTTGATCCCATTGATAATCCAGGAAAATAAACCTCGTCGAGCAAGGTCATCCTGCTCAAAGCCATCATAATCCAAGAATCCACCTCCATAGGTTCCTTCATCGGGTACGTCTGTGAAGCCGTAGCTGTTCAATCCGGGAAAGAATTCCTTGAATGCTCCTTGATCCTTGGTGATATCTACAGTTGCATTACCACCTTCCCCATCCACGATCACTTCTTGCGCCCGGGACGCGCGAACATGTCCTTTGACAAGCTGACGTTTTGCTAAATTCGGCTTCTGGTATGTTCCCCACTCCAAATTACCTCCATGGATCGCATCGTTCTCATCAATCAGGTGGGTGGTCACTGTGATAGAGTTGCCCTCCACCCTTGGCCGGGATGCACGAAAGAAAGAACGGTGTTCACCGGTAAGATGACCGCAATCGATGTGATAAGTAATCAGGTTAAATCCTTGGGCTGTAGTCGCCTCTTGCCAGTGTTGCTCCACTGTGTTAAGAGCCTCTTTCGTCTTGAAAAAAACCTGAATCTGACGCTCGGTGCAGACCACATCGTCAATATGGCTGGAGTGCTCCAAAACGACTGTGGGGTGTGAAAAAGTTCCTTCAAGATGAGCATGTTTGGCTCCATGCAGGGCAGCTAATAATACATTAGCTGGCAGTCACATGATATCTCGGTCTATAACACTCACGGCGATGTCCTTCTTGACTGAAATGCAGGCGCTTCGAGACCTCAGGGATCAGATGGTTGAGATCTGTGGCGTCGTGATCCGGGTGAAGCGCAGGGTATAGGCTGACTCCCTCTTTCGCAAAGGAAGGGGACATTTGCAACAGTCCTTGGTGGGAGGAATGACGGCCAAAGGCCGACACCGTAGTGCTCCCGAGCAAGGCCAGGGACGCTACGTAGTCGGAAAACCGCATGGTGATGGTTTGGCTGAGCTCTACTCATCTATCAAGGCCGGTTCTGTTGACATTTATATACATTTAGCATTCGACTTTCGTCTTACAGGAAATAAGGACGCGCAGTAATATCTTTTCTTTTTCTATGATGCTTCAATAAGTTTGTGTGATATTGTTTCACTACCAATAGTCCGGGCAGATGCTTCGACGATCGTCAAGCTGAAAGCTTCTAATTCAGATAATCTGCCTATCGCATTATTTCAACTTTCCCCTGGCTGAAGAACTTGCTTGATGCATGATCATTGGCAGATCGAATGGATTGACTCAGAGATCTCCGGCCCGACGGTGTCAATAGATCGTGCCGATCTTCTAGGGAAGGTGGGTTCGGCGGACGATAAGGGTCTTACGGTCAAAAGTCGTAAAAGGCTTAACACCACACAAAGTTTAATACACAGTGCGATTTATGATTAATGACTATTCCTCTTCGTCGAGCAATTCTCAATCATTTTCCCAAGACTAGCACCATCCCTAACCATCGGCTCTGGTGTTCTCGCTGCAACAATAATGTAATTCCCTAACAGCCTTCTGCGAAACGCTGCCTCGCAGTAAATAAAATAGTACAGCCATTGTCGACGGAACGCCTCTACTTCTGCATCCGATGCCTCAGAGCGTACAGCGCGATAGTCCAACTCAATTCTTTTTCAGCTGCGGAGGAAGTTGTCTTGCCATGCAAACAAGGTCTTGCCATAATGGGGACCGATGTTCAAGGCGGAGGTGACCTCCAAGTTTCCGTCTGAGCCCCGGTGGAGGAGTCGAGGAGCATATGGATGGTTGGTAGGTAGCCCCCGGGGAAGACATAGCGGCCGACGAAGGTTAGGACGTTGGGTTTTGTCTCGCGAAGCTATGAATGAGCTGATTAATTTGCTTTTAATGGTAAATGGATAGTTAAGTGCCTTACAGACCTTGTTGGTCATGGTGATTCCATCAACAACCATCACTCTATGAGTAGGATGTAGAAGCCAAGTGATAATCTCAAAATACTGGTCCAGGTATAGCAGTAACGTTGTTGTACCGCCAGTTCAATTGGCTGGCCTTGACGGCCAATCCGGCCGTCAAGCTGAGTACTCATTTCAGCACTCTGGACTGAAGTACGCAGCTTCAATCCAAGTTTCTTGTAATAATCAGGCAAGTCATTGATTTGATCTCAGGCAAAACCTTGAGAGTACCGTATTCCCACCCTAGGAGTTCTATAGGCGCTTGTAATTCTATTGGCCGAAACACCATTGAGATGCGAACACGACCATGCCTTACAGGCGCAAGTTAGCCAGAGCAAATGCACCCACATTAAGACAGACCTACCAATACCACCGGTAAATGGGAAATACTCGTTGATTTGGGACCTTTGCTTGAATATCTCTGGGAGCGACAAGACAACAACCCCGACCAAAAGGGTCGAGTTCGTACATGCGTATATCACGTACTGAAAGTATGATCTCTGTGTTCCACCAATTGGAGATGAATTGTTCGACCCCAACGTTGAACTGTGCTCGAGTCAGTTTCAGCATGACACCATGAAGGAACAGCAGCTTATGAAAAATGGCATACAGATGGCTTTGTGCTTTTAGGCTTCGTCCGCATCTTTTAAGGCTCCCTGGTGATTCACGATAACTGTGCAATAGCTGTTGGGCAGATCACCATATTCTACTTGGTAATCTTCCTCATGAATGTCATCGCCTTGGTTCCTTGTTATCTTTCTAAATCCCAGACCAAGGATCTGATGGGTCTGAATTGCAACTATGCCGCTGGGATAATCGGGGGGAAGGAGGATGTGAGATAGTTTTCTCATTCTCTGGCCTATACAAAATCAGTTGGGTGAGTCGGCACCAGCTCGATGATTTTTACCTGAAGGTCTTGCATTCTCTGTTCAATATCATGGGATTCATCTTCTCTTTCTTCTCGCAGCTTCTTTGCCACTCCTTCTGCATCCCTGTTCTTGAGGTCATCGGTCTGTGGCTCAAGCTCAGTTGGTAGAATCCCTGATTTAAAAAAAATATCCTGAGTGTGACAGTCTCGAACAATATAAATTTATTGGTAGACTCTCTATCGAAATACTAACATGGAGAAGAAAAAGGAAGAAGCTGGGCCTGCCAGCGCTGCGCTATCTAGTGTGCGAAGGGGGTTCCTGCCCTATATTCAAACAGGCCAAAGTTTACAAACATCTTGCGTTGTTGGTGAATGCCCGTACTCCGTGACAACTCATATGATGGCTCAACACTGCAGCATTTGCGATGTATCATTCATTGCTGCAGTGTTGAGCCGTCATATATGAGTCGCCACAGCCCCCAGTGGTGAATTTTATGGATCCTCAAACACAAGAACCTACGCTTGTTCCTATACAAGATGTCCGGACACGCTGGAATTCAACATATCTCATGCTTCGGCAGGCCAAACGGTTTCAGTCTACTTTTGATGAGTATTGTTCTGAGAATGGCCATCCTGATCTAAAGCTAGATAGGGATAAATGGCGACAGATTGGACTATCTTCTATCAATTACCCAACTTTTTTTTTAAATTTACAACCTCTCTCTCAAAGACTACTGAGGTCAATATCCATAGTGTCTTTGCAATTTACAACACCCTATTTACTTATCTTTAGCAATCTAGGGCACAACTGGCGCAAAAGAAGGTTGGCTGGAAGAAGGTGATGCTGTCAGCACTAAAGGCTGCAGATATAAAGCTTTCAGTATATTATTGGAAGACTGATGAGATTGATGGTAATCTCTATGCAATTGGGACTATCTTAGCGCCACAGAACAAGTGTCAGGGTGCAGGGTTATGTACAGATATATTAGGAATCGACGAACAGGTTAAGCTACAGGCCAGGCTATCTACAGGTTCATAGACAAGACACAGCTCGAAGAGCTGCAATAAGATCAGCGCCAGGCACAGATATATATTGATAAGGATTGATTGGATAAATGGTCAAAATGGCCTTTGTCCGATCATGGCTCCTCCTATCCGTTGAACCAGTCATCCTTCTAATCTCCACATATTTGGCCATTGTGTATGGTATCTCATATCTGTTATTCACTGCCTTCCCTGTGGTCTATCATGAGGAGCGTGGGTGGAACTCGAGCGTTACAACCTTTCCATTCTTGGCTGTCCTAGTTGGAATGGCCATTGGGGTTATATATTGCATGGTATGACAAACTGTATGCACGTCGACGCTTGGATAATGTGGATAATACGTCTATTGTTGAACAAAGGCTGCAGCCAGCAACAGTTGGCGCAATAGCAATTCCAATTGGATTTTTATGTTCGCCTGGGCCAACTCCCCGTCAATCCATTTTATGGCTAGTGCCATTGGGACGGCTTTCTTTGGACTTGGGCTAGTCAATATCTTCATCAGCATGAGCAACTATCTTCTTGACACGTATACTATATTTGCAGCATCTAGCCTAGCTGCCAGTTCGGTCTGGAGATCTATCTTGGGTGCTGTTTTCCCCCTATGTACGCCAAGGATGTATGAAGCGCTGGTGACTCATTGGGCATCTTCGATTCCAGCATTTCTGTCCATGATATGTATACCAATACCGTTCTTGCTCCAGCTGAATGGTTCTTGGCTTCGATCCAAGTGCAAATACATGATTAAAGCTCATGATGCGATGGCGAGTCTTCGCGGCTAGGACATAAATTCGTGCTCGAAAAGTCCGAAATATTCATTAGGGTTGTGACATTGATAAATCTCTCCTTAACAAAGAATATATAATCGTAATAGAAAAGCAACAAAATTTATTTACCATGCTATTGCCGTTAATAAGGTAGCCCTATGGCATATCTTTGTCCTAAAACTGATAGATCTTAATGTTGAGCGACTCATTGCTGTGAAACATGACTGGAAACCTATACTATTGATAAACTACATTCTCAGATAGTTCGTTATGTTTATTATATTTAGTAGGAGCAGAGCAATTATTAGAATCGACGTCGGGCTTCAGTTAGCCGTGGCCACTGTGGCTTCACTCACTGAGTGGCACGGTCAGGGGAGCCGCTAACTGAGGGAAGTTGCAAATACAGCAGCAGTGAAATCTTTGCCAAGACCTTTCATTTTGGTGAGTTTGCTGTTGATATAATGTAAACTAGGGATGACCAGAAGTGGAAGAGAGACCAAAAAAAAAAAAAAAAAAACACCCTTTCATTTTCATTCTCGCAATTGGAATGTCGTAATATTATCTACAAGAATGTTTCTCTATTAAACGCTAAGAGAGAATGTACCTCAAAGAAATGACGTCGAAGGCCTTTTGTACCGTTGGACGGCTTGTTTTGACAGCACGCTGGGGACATTGAATCCGTGTTCCGGGCTGGCACAACTTCGTGTGCTCGTCAATGTGATTTAGGAGGTTAAAGAATCGCTAAATGGAAGTGGCAATGTTGACCCCAATCATCTTCACTATATGAGAACTGAGCGCAAAGGTAACAGAATTATACTAAGACATGATTCGCACGAAAGTAAGCTCTCTTGCCGTCCTTATAACTCTATTAATAGGGAGCGGCGTTCAAAGTCTTTCTTTGGCATTGTAAAATTTGCTTTGCATGGGGCTGGAAGTCAAAGCTACTGCGTGTTAGAGTCGGATATCATGAATTTCATATGTTCTGTGAAACGTACCTTGACATTGGCAGTTGGCGTACTGGACAACGCCCATTTACAGTATTCATTTTCGGATAGTATGCATCTTTCTCAGTTGATGTGCAGAGAGACCATACCATATAACGTAGGTGCATAGCGAACGACGCAGCATAGCGAACAACACACCTAACCACCACCATGATATTGTTCACGACCGTAATTTGCCACAACACAGATAATCAATTAAGTCTAGTCAGAATTATATCCATCAAATACCTCTTCATCTTCTTGACAGGTGCGTGCATTATGTCCAGGCTTGCCACAGCTACCACAACATCGTTTTCTTGGTTTCACACGCTTCAGACTATCATCCTTCATATGGATTTCCTCAGCTAGCTGGCGATCTATATCTCCTTGATCCAGTATACCTTTGCCAGTCTGCAGACTTAGTATTCCTCCATGCTGTATATGTGTTGTCTTTCCCTTCCGGCGCTTGCTTAATGTACGATTCGCATCTTCAAGTGTTGTAACTCGGTCCTTGAGGAGAGCCACTGAGTGCATAACTGACTTTACACTCTTCGCAATATGGTCTATAGCACCATAAATTGAGGTTGGTGAACTATTTTGGTGATTGGCAATTCTGGATTTAATATACTCAGATTGCGAAGTGGCCTCGACTGGGTTTTGTGGTGTCCTAGAAATCCAAAGGTCCATAATCGCAGGAGGTGGTCCAGTAGGTGTTGGTGTGCGTAACTTGACATCTAGCTTAGAAATCGCAGTATCTGGGTTATATGGGACTAAACCTGACTGTATATTTCTTTCACTAAACGAGGCAAAGAATGCGGCCTTAAATGCCTCAAAGAACTCAATCTTAGTGATATGGGTGATATGCCCCCGGATCAAGTTCTCAGTCTCCTTGCTATACGCACGCTTTAGTGGACTGAAACATCCAATATCAAGTGGTTGGAGCAAATGAGATGAATGAGCAGGCATGCAAAGAGTCACAATATTATTCTCTTTGCAGTAGTGCTCGAAACCAGCTGAGTGGTGGCTCTCATGCCCATCTAGCACCAATAGACGTTTTGCACCTGTTGTACGATGTCGACTATATTTGTCAAAGTGTTTTATCCATTCCAGGCCAAGCTCATTTGTAGTCCATCCATTGTCACTGACTCCAATGACCCAATTAGATGGCAGGGAGCTATCACGATACCAAGTTGAGAGATGGCATTGCCCAGCAACAATGATAAAAGGTGGTATCATTGAGCCTTGAGAATTCACCCCCTGGATGACTGTTGCCCATTCTCGATTGCCAGGCTGGATCATCTTTGCTTTTCCACGACCATCTGAGGTTGTTATACCCATTGCAGACGAGATTACTCCCATCATAAAACCAGTCTCATCAAAGTTCCAGATATCTGACTCCAGTATGCCGTACTTGGCCACCATATTTTGAATGAGCCGAAACCAATCCATAATTATAGCTGGATCTTCGCACTTGGCTCTCTGGTAGTCGTACTTACGCGTAAAACGCATCTGGAGCTGTGGTTGTTGCTTAACAAAGTTGGAAGCCCAGTGTGGTCCAACGCATGGCGCGTCGCGTTCAGTAAGCAGTCAGTTGGCCATATCTTCAACACCATGAAGCCGGGGAGGGAATGCTCGTGAATCCAAGTCTATTATCTCTTGAATAAGCACTGATTCTTCTAAGTCGGTTAATTTTCGCGAATTGGCTGGCAAAGCGCGTCGAGATTGTCGGCCTTTGAGTCGTGCATATAAGGTTGCTTCACTGACATTGCAGATCTTGGCAATAGATTGTACACTTTGTTGATTACCATTTTTGAATGTCTGGAGGGCAAAGAATAATCGGTTTTCTCTGCTAGTAGATTCCATGGTTGTACGTGGAGAAATTATACAAAGAACTTCGGTGTGGTGACTTAAGTTGGATTGTGCGGCGTTCGCTATGCTGCGTCGTTCGCTATGCACCTACGTTATGCATTGCTTTCCTTCGCTAAAATCCACTGTAGCATGGTCGTTCTACGGTCACTATGCCCAATCGGATTTAAACAATCTCATGGGAGTTTTATCTGGGTTTGCCTTACTGCACGTTCTCGACTAGTGATCTAGACGAAGTATAACCGCGGCTTCGGTAAGAGGAAAACATGTTATAAACATGTGAAAAGGAGATAAAACCAGTGAATCTGTATCACTGTCGTCATCATCAATTGGGTATTTGCTCAAACTGGTATACAATTTCATATCACACGCACACATTGCGAACTTTATGACCAGTGTCCCGAGTTATGAATGATTTGCATCCACGGTTTGTTCCGGACATATTTCAGGAAGAGGGCGGAGGTAGATTGGGCAGTTGGAATCTTTACGAGCGATAGGCCGTACATGTGTTCCTTGGCCGTACCGATTTGCTCGCTTGGATACCACTGCTTTTGAGAGGCTATGCTGAGTTCGCAGAACTATATCATGGGGGTTATGGAGGGATCGATCAAGCCACGTCCGTCAGAGAAGGCTGTGTTGTCTGTGCATCCAGAACACCTAATGGAAGGAGGAGACAAGAATGAAGTCAAAGCGGAGTTGGCGGATGCCGCTGTATTTTCAGGTCGTTCATTCGAACGAGGCAACTAATCGTAGTATTGTACATAGGCACGAACATAGTGATATTCATAGAAAATGATCCGTCCGGGGACCCTCAGTCAGTGGGCGATGAAGGGTTGGAGGATGACGTAATGAAAATCACAGTGAATCATTCAATTTGCAAGACATCATTGTGTATCAAACATTATTCTGTTAGCAGACCTTTTCAACATGAGTGGGGGACCATTACTGGTGTAAGAGAACTGCAGCTTCAAGGTGATTATGACTGCATTCAGCGAAAAGGGGATGGCACAATGAGGGGGCTTAGGCAGAGGATCAGTAACAAAAATGCCTCACCGAAATCATGGGCGGCAGAGGTGAAAGGTGAAAGGAAAAACAGCAAAGATTTGTTTGAAATTGAAGCAGCGATGGAGTGACTTTATAGAGCACGCACAGCGATGCCAAGCGGCAATGGGATGCTAAACCTATATAGGAACGCTATACCGCTTCTAGTAATTCGCCGTTACCCAAGAGTACGTTGTAGGGGGATCCTTTTTGCCGTGAATGTCAGGTCCGGGCTCGACGGTGATTTTGGTGCCGATGAATTCGAAGAGTGTCGAGACGCAGAATTTAAATGAGTTCGGTCTGGTAACCCTTAAACCGCAGTCGGTAGGGTTCCCGATAAGATGGATATCGGCAGGTTTTCCAAGAGTCCATACGTTGAACCTACGCTCACAGATGAATCAAGCAGGCACTATTATTATATCATACCTAAACGCACTAATAGTACACTGCAGCAAAATGCAGAGGAGAAATAGCTCTGTCGACAAAAAGAAAAGAAAAAGCCACAAACCCAGACCCATCACCGAATCCAACGCATCAACGCCTTAAAAAACAAGAGAAAAATATTCCTGACAAGGACGAAACGAGAGCAAGACTCTGTAAAAAAGCGAAAGAATCTTTTTTTGCTGTATATCACATTGTATAGTGGGAGAAGAAGAAATGAGAGCACTCGAGCGGATAAAGGTGCAATCCATTGAGAAAGTAAACGAAAAAAAGGATATATCAATAAGCAAAGGTCCGCAGGAAACAGCTAAAATATCAATCCAGTCCCGCGCGCTAAGCCATATCTTCATCTCGAGCAAGGCGAGGGGCAAATTATTTAACGAACAAAAATCACACTAGCCCTCGTGGTTAATGATCGTAACCGGCTCCTCTTTGCCATGGACTTGCATTGTTTTGATTCCGCTGGAAGGGCGATGCGTTATACCCTCTTGGGACCGGCGAAGGCGACCGCATGCCATTGTAGCTGGGAGGCGGCCCGCGGTTGTCACTTGGGAACAGAGGCACTGATGGGTCCACAGGGGAGACAGGAACACCGCCGGTGGCACTGTGGGGCGACGTGGCCGAGTGCGGTGCTTCCAGGTTTTGACGGCTGACGCTAGCCCCATTGCCGCTGGAGAAGGAGTCATCGTCCTCAAAGGGGCTGGAATTGTAAGCAGAGCCCTTGGCATCCCCACGAGCGGTGGCACCCAGGGCATCCAATTCGGTGGTGAGCTGGGTCTGCGATTTGATGAACGAGCCACGGTCATCGCGCATCGGCTGGTAGCGGGTGTCCGGGTTCTTGGACACGATGGCGTAGATGGAGGCAATCAGGACCAGAATCAACAGAACCAAAGCGAACACGGCATTGTAGACGAAGAAGACAACACCCATCACACCCGTGACAAGACCAGGCTGGTTGAAGACCTGAGCGAAGAAGAGCAGGAAGATGGCGTTAAGGAAGTTGATGGCCTGGATCGTGATGTTGTAGATGTTGGTCTTCTTGTCCATCCAGGGGCGCAGCACACTGACGGCGATGAGCATGGCCGCTTCGATGATGACAAAGGCCACCGTCTGGACGATGGGGGCCGGCTGGCTCAGACCGATGAACATGCCCTTGACGAGGATATAGATGAGGACAGGGATGACAAAGTAGTAGGCCGTCGCGCGGTACTGCACGTACAAGAAGCCCCACTTGTTCAAACAGGTGGGGTCCGAGTAGAGGATGTAGGCCGGGTTCCGGTGCATGGTGATGGAGCGCTTGGCGAGGCGGATAACCTTGACAGCCGCCCAACCCAATGCAGCAACCATCGACACGATCATGATGATGGCCAGAATGATCTCGGCGACCGAATCACGGTGGGTCAATTCCCAAAGACACAGCACAACCATTTGCGGGAAACCGATCAAGGTCAAACGGAACAGGATGCCTCGAGCCACAACTTTCCACCCATTACGGAAGTCCGAGAACTTGTCACTCTTCATCTTGCCGTTCTTGGCGAGGAGCTCGCAAACACCCTTGAAGATGGCCACGATAAACATGACGACCGCCACGAAGAAGACGAAGAAGATCAGACCGGTCAGGAAGATGTTGGTCTCTTCAATACCGGCTTCGAATCCAACACGCTTGATACCACGGACAACGGTAGTCTTCTGAGTGGCCTTCTGCGACTCAGCCTCTCTCTTGAGCAACGGCTCAGCAGCACGCTTCATGAGCGCAAGAGATGGGTCAACGGAACGCTTGAGCACCTGAACGGATGTGGTCGACAATTCCGAAAGAACGGTCGATGGGGTACCTCCTGTCGAACGCTGATACCAGGTACAAATGGTTTGCAAGAAGCCTATACGGATGATACCCATACTCCACTGGAAGTTCTGCGTCCACGATTCGACAATCGGGGGCATATGGACGGCCACCATGCCAAACAGAGCCTGAGACTGCATGAAGCCGAACAGAGACAAGGCATTGGCCGCCACGTGAGCGGCGGTGTTGGAGTGTCCGAGACCGGATGTAATGGCAGACGCCGTTAGACCCAATCCAGAGATGACGGCAGTCGTCCAACCAACACCTTTTTGGTAAACCGTTTGTCCATTAGACAGACGTGCCTCGAGGCAAGAAATACTCTCGCCCGTTTCGGTGGAGTTGATGTAGATACGGACATTAGCGTCGAGGTCGGGAACGGTATATGCGATGCCTGTGCATGGTTAGGAACGGCTCACTATTTCTCTCTTTTTTTTTTTTTTTTTTTCCCATTTTCCTCAAGATAGGAACACTTACTGGGGATTTGAGAGACGACATTCTCTGGAAGATCGAGATTGGCCCTGGGCACATCAATGGGGCCGGTCTGCATGGGACAGAGACCGGCGAGACCCATCTCACAAGGGTCCAACTCCTTTCTCAAGGCCGTGTAACCATAGGCCGTAAGGACGATTTCTGCCTTAACCTTGCCGGAAATCGCAGCGACACCATCGAAAGCAAAAGCGAGCGAATGGTTGTTGGGAGTAAAGGTGACACTGAAGTAGGTTGCCGTGAAATTGTTGCTGTCCTGGCAGAGACTGAGGGCATTGGATTCAATGAGCTTGGTGGCACCTCCGAATTGCGCGAGGAGCGCGACGAAGAACCAGGTAAAGAGAGATATTAATCGCATATTGGATGAAATCTGTGAAGTAGTTGAAAGGAAGAAGAGGGACGAGACGAGACGAAGGCGAGGTTGTAGTAGAGGGTGTAAATTCTTCGACTTGGCAATGGCCGGATGCGGAAATCACTGAGGTAGTATTGAATGTCGCAGGGGAATCCAGGGACGAGTCGGATGATTAGTCACGAGACGAAGAATCCGGGACGAAAATAACGACGAAGAAAACAATCGCTTTGAAGAAGGGGAGACAGTTCAGAGCGTCATTGATTGAAAGGGGAGAGCAGGAAAATCGATAACCAGAGCGACTTTTCTTTGCGCGGGTTCAAAATAATGATAGAAAGGAGAGACAAGAGATCTATCGTATCGAATAAAGAGCGACCGAGCGATAAGATCAAGGGTTCAAAAATCTTTAACAAGTAAAAGAAACTAGAAGAATGAATGGATCACTTGAAAGAGCAAGTGAGAGAGACGCGTAGAATCGAGCGAGTGGGACGGCGACACACAGTATAGCCTAAACGGGGAGGGAAAAGCGAGAGACAAAAGAAGAGTCTATGTCTTCTTCAAAAAGAAAATGCGAAAAAAAGAAGACCTTTCTTTTCTTTGGGATTGACTCTCTTCTTCTTTCTTTTCTGGTATATATTCCTTTACTCTGAGGGCGGAGTAATACCTCTGTTTCCAGACAGAAGAAGGGGGGAGGCCTGGAGGCGGAAAGAGGAGAGAGTAGAGAGAAGAGGTAAACGAGAGTCGATGATGGCACTATTAGTTAATGGCGAGAGGAACCGAAAAAAGAGGCCATCAAAAAGAGCGGAAGAAGAAGAAGAGAAGAAGAAAAGAAAAGGCGAAAAAGAACAGAAACGAAAAATCAAAAGTCAAAAAAAGAACCGACAGACACGGAACTGGGAGGCGAAAAGAAAGAGTGTTAAGTCAAGTATGGAATTGGAATGGATGGAGAGGTATGGCTGCTGAGTCATCCGGCAGGGGATGGAATTCAGGGATGCTAATAGTCCGTACAGAGTAGTTGATGTCAAGTGCTGCCAGATTAAAATGAAGATTGATCGCTGGATCATGGCAGTGCTCTACAGTATCCATACTCAGCGTACTCACTTCACATCCTATTCTCACATTTCATACCTCTCTCTACTCCGTACTCTTCTCTTCCCCCAGATTACCTGTACAACCTACAGGTACAGAGTGCACGCGCGTCCTCAGAGCTCAGCCAGTGACAGATGGTCCAACATTTCTGCCGCCCGGCGGATGCAGTGGATCGGACAGGCTATCGTTACTCGCTCTGGGGAAGCGCTCACTTGCCGTTCCGTGTCGATGAATGACGATATCTTCTGTTTGTCTTTCTGCCTTGTTTGCTATAAATATTTACACCCTATACATACTACTGTATAAAGGCGCGATATCTAGTGTAAAGAGCAGGCACAGCTGACAAGATCTGACATTATGCAGGAACTCTGCATCATACCTTAAAACGCATTATGATTCTTATCCAAGAACATGAATCTCCTCACTCACTGTTGACCGCATGCGACTCCATACAGTCTCCATCCAACTCCATCCACCGAAAAGGAATTGCCCAGGATATGCACTGCCCCAGCCCCCTTGGCGGATAATAATGAATGAGCTTACCAATAGTTACTCGTAGTAGCCCTCGTAGTTGGCCCCAGTCAATATTAACATTAAACGGGTTAGCCATGTCTTTGAACAACTGTTGGTGTGTTTCACATTGGATCGTTTGGGAGCACTGTGCATCGCAGTACTATTTCGGAGTACTCTGTAGGTGTACAGTGGTCAGGGTCCAATGACGCTGAGCCTCTGATCGGCCTTGATTGATCTTCGCTAGAATGCGCGTCTCGGTCGAAATCAGCCCAGCGGTCACCAAATCCAAGATTTGAAAGGACTTTTAACTTCCTGACGGCCGATGTGTCTTTTGTATGCGTGTTTTCGGGCCCGGAGAATATGCATGGCACCTTGGCTCTCTAGGTGCCCGTGGCGAAAAAAAAAAAAAAAAAAAAAAAGAAAAAGAAAAAAGGTGGTTGGTTCTATTTTTAACGCCGAACCAACCGATTGCTCTACAAAGTATGGTTCAGACGGCTTATGTATGTACTCAGAGTGCTCTTCTCTCGACAGGTTTCAATCTGAGATTAACCTATTAAAGTAAAGATTCCATACGAATACGATTGACTTTATCTGAAGCGAGTAGACAATTTGAAGATGTACTTGTATACAACGACTGGGCGCTCCCGGCTTGTGCGGTATTTTATGACTGAACGGTTAGTGTACTTTTTAGGAAAACTATCTTTGCATTTTGGACTTGAATCTGGTGATACTTTCGTCTTTTCTGTCCATGCTATTCATCACTATATAGATGGAAATATAGAGACATCTGCTCGGCAATTGCTTGTATGTGCTCCGTCGATATGTTGATTAGTATGATCCACTTTCCATATCAAGACAGTACGAGCCGGCTTTAGTTCGGTATATCTGCCTGAGGTGTGTATTAAGGTTTCGTTTCTGCCTTACGACGCTGCTATCGCTATCACCACGTGACCATATGCTAGAGAAAATTCACCGCCCGGCAATAAGATCATCGCCCGCAAAATCTAATATCTCCGACCGCCGAAAAAAAAAAAGTCTCTACGAGGACAACCAGGTACATTGTGACAAAACAACATAATAATCAGTCATGGCAAAGGAAATCGAAAAGAAGGCAAAGCCCGTTGACTCGGCAAAGTCTATCGCCAAGAAGAGAAAGAGAAAGCACGCGCGCGCCGGCGCAGATGCTGAAGAAGAGACTCCCAAGCAAGTCGCCAATGGCAATGGAGCAGTGAGCGACGATGACAACGAGATCGATATCGAGCAAAAGAAGACTTCCTCGAAGAAGAGCGCCACCAAGCAGAAGGTGTTGTCGAGAAAGCGGAAAGTAAACGACTCGCCCAGCGACGACCAAGACGACGAAGAGAAATCGCAAAGTGAAAACGACGATGAAGATGGCGACGAGGAAGACAAGGAGGATGAGGACGCTGCCGATGACAAGGCCGGTGCAGACCTTCCCTCTGTGGATGCTGTCCGTCTGCCACAGACGGAGGAGGCGCCGCAAAAATTCTCAGACTTGAACCTCTCGGACAAGACAATGAAGGCTATCGGTGATATGGGTTTCCAGACTATGACGGAGATTCAGCAACGGACCATTGCTCCATTGCTCGCTGGACGGGATGTTTTGGGTGCTGCAAAGACTGGTTCCGGAAAGACTCTGGCTTTCTTGACCCCTGCTGTTGAGATGCTGAGTGCCTTGCGGTTCAAGCCTCGGAACGGTAGGCATTCTTATTCTCATATTATGATTCAGTACTAATGTTATTAGGTACCGGTGTTCTTGTCGTCTCTCCCACTCGCGAACTAGCTCTGCAGATTTTCGGTGTCGCCCGAGAACTCATGGCCCATCACTCCCAAACCTACGGAATCGTCATCGGAGGCGCCAACCGCCGCGCCGAAGCCGAGAAGCTCACCAAGGGCGTCAACCTCCTTATCGCAACCCCCGGCCGTCTCCTCGATCACCTTCAAAACACTCAGGGATTCGTCTTCAAGAATCTCAAGACCCTCGTCATCGACGAAGCAGACCGCATCCTCGAAGTCGGTTTCGAAGACGAAATGCGCCAGATCGTCAAGATCCTGCCCGCCGAGGAGCGTCAGACCATGCTCTTCTCCGCTACCCAAACTACCAAGGTCGAGGATTTAGCACGGATATCGCTGCGTCCGGGTCCGTTGTACATCAACGTCGACCACCGCAAGGAACACAGTACGGTCGAGGGATTGGAACAGGGATATGTGCTTTGCGAAGCGGATAAGCGGTTCTTACTGCTGTTCTCGTTCCTCAAGCGTAACCTGAAGAAGAAGATCATTGTTTTCTTCTCCAGCTGCAACTGCGTTAAGTACCACGCTGAGCTCCTCAACTACATCGACTTGCCGGTTCTGGAACTCCACGGCCAGCAGAAGCAGCAGAAGCGCACCAACACCTTCTTCGAATTCTGCAACGCCACGCAAGGTACCCTTATCTGTACTGACGTTGCTGCCAGAGGACTTGACGTACGTTTCCCTACCTTCCCCATCATCTTATAGTTTCAATCCCAATACTGAAAACAACAGATTCCCGCCGTCGACTGGATCATCCAATTCGACCCCCCAGATGACACCCGTGACTACATTCACCGTGTCGGTCGTACCGCTCGTGGTAAGGAAGGCAAGGGCCGCAGTCTTTTGTTCCTGCAACCCTCCGAAGTGGGCTTCCTCAAGCACCTCAAGGAGGCGCGTGTTCCTGTAGTTGAATTCGACTTCCCCGCATCGAAGATTGTGAACGTTCAGTCTCAGCTTGAGAAGCTCATTGGACAGAATTACTATCTTAACAAGGTAAGCTTTCCCTCTGTCATCAGACTTGCATTGCAAAAACAGAGTGCTAATAATGCTGCAGTCCGCAAAAGACGGCTACCGCGCCTACCTCCAAGCCTACGCCTCGCACTCCCTCCGCTCCGTCTTCGACGTGAACAAGCTCGATCTTGTCAAGGTTGCCAAGGGCTTCGGCTTCTCGACGCCCCCGCGCATCGACATCCAGCTTGGTTCGAGTCTAGGCCGTGATAAGAAGCAGCAACAGGGACGGAGGAATTATGGGTCTCAGCCTAATGGGAAGGGGTTGAAGTTCAAGAGGCAGAGGAGGGATGAGTAGATTATTTGTATAGAGGGAAAAGTTTGGTTTTTGTTGATGGTTTGTTTGGGTATGGCGTTTTAGCCTGTGGATACATTAATTGTATGCTGTTCTACAGAGTATTCTCTTATTCAAATCCTACTATATACCATGCTAGTGGGGCGTAAATATATACCACCCTACTGAAGATCAATAACAACCTTCCTCGCAGAAACACCCTTCATCTGTACATCAAGCGCATGCTGCACGCTCTCCAATCCCTTCCCAACAACAACTGGATCAGGCTTCGCCTGCAACTGGCCATTAACTAGGGCACCAGGCACAAAGTCCTCCCAGATTGCTTTTCCAATTTGCTCGTGTTGAGCCATGGCCAAGTGTAGTGCGAAGACTGCACTCACATATTAGCTTTTACCAATCTCGAGATAATGAGCAAAGGAAGAAAGTTAAGAACACACCAAATCTAGCATCCAATCCTCTCGCCTCCTTATACGGCAACACACTTGCAATCCTCAAGTCCCTCTTCCCAAGCCTCTCCAAAATCTCCGCGATAAGTGCAATGCTCTTCTCATTACTGATAGCGTCGTAAACACCCACAAGCTCACATTCACCCTGACCTAGCTTATTCGCAACATCCTCCACAACACTTTCAGCACTGTAATTAAACACAAGCGACGCGCCCAGCGACTTCACAAACTCATAGTTGGATTCTGATGCCGTTGTCACAACACGCAGCCCCGATGCAACGGCTAGTTGAATCGCCGTTGCGCCGACGGAGGAAGACCCGCCCCAGATTAGTACCGTTTTGTTGGCATCGTGTGTTTGCTTGGATTTGGGGTTGTTGGTAAGTGTGGGTAGGGAGAAAGACAGATAATCCGGTAAATAAAGTCCGGCTGCAGCCGTCGATATAGCCAATGGTAGAACGACGGCTTGTTCAAAAGATAATGAGTCTGGGATCTTCGCTGATAGGCTCGAATAGGCGTGTGGGTAGAGCTGGTAGCCTGAGTGGATGGGGTTTGCTGTTAGGAGGCTGGGCACGTGTCTGCAATTGTCAGTTGGTGTGTTTCGATATTGGGGTTGACTGGAACACACGAAATTACACGGTCACCCTTCTGAAAACGGGCAACTCCCTTTCCTACTTCCTCGACTGTTCCTGCGACGTCTGTTCCCAGGATGAAGGGGTAGGTTTTGACGTAGGCGCTATATTCGTGGTTTCTGCGGATGTCAACTTCTGTCCATCACGGATTGTGCAGTGACAAGAGACTCACTGGATCTTCCAGTCAATTGGATTCTATACACGAATGTTAGTTTTATTGTTGCTCGTTTATAATCCAGAAAGTACCTACCACCGCAGAGACGTGATTTTTGATCACTATCGTGCCCGGTTCGGGTCTTTGTGTAGGCGCATCGTCGACTTTGAGGGGGTTCGCCTTTTCAGACACAATCCATGCTGCACAATTGGCCATTTTGTTGGTATACTATTTATACAACGAGGCAGAAAGATGGGAATCGAGACGAGGGGTGTAGATGGGCAATATATTTGATTATTGATATTATATCCACTAACTCCGTTTAACCCCGTCTTCATTTCGATATATTAATCAGCTATTGAGGCATGAAAATTAATTAAAGTACTCTACATGAATAAGATGGCAAATCCCGTAGATTTATTACTATTCATGCATGTTTTCCAAAATGCAGACGTTTTGTCGAAAGCTAGACAAACAAAACTAGGTATATGATATGAAAAAATTGGAAACAACCGTAAATCAAATCGAGATCACTTTTCTATCACCGCCCGTCACCAAGACCCGGAGGAGGCCCCGGAGGACCTGGCAAAGGAGCTCCCGGAGGTGGACCCGCGAACGAAGGCATCGGCGGTGGCCCACCAAAGCCATCATGTCCCGGGGCCACTGGTGTGCCAGGACTGGGACTCGGGGTGAAGCCGGCGCCCGGAGGCGGAATGGCAGGGAATCCCGGTGCACCAGGAGGGGGAATCGGGAAGTTCGGGAAGCCACCAGGGGGTGGCGGGGGGAGACCTTGGCCACCAGGCGGTAGTGGCATGCCAGGCATAGGAGGCGGGGGGAGGTTTCCGGGACCGGCAGGGAATGGGGGAGGGAAGGGAAGGCCACGGCCACCGGGAGCTGTATGATAATTAGCTTTCGTAAGGCATGGAAACAAAGGACGGAACGAAGGACGGGGGGGGACGTACGAGGTGGCATCCCGGGTGCACCGGCTCCAGGTGCTCCTGGAGGAGGAATTCCAAATGGAGGTGGTGGCATTTGACCCGGTCGACCTATTAAGAGCCCTGTATCAGCTTTTAATTCTTTCCAACACCAGCATGCCGGCCTTCGTTGTCACTAACCTGGGAAACCGAATGGCGGGGGGTAGGCACCCGGTGGAACCATGACAGGGTTAGGAACAGCCTGCCCTTCAGCGGCGTAAGACGACGTGATCGAATCGATGACCGATTGAGCTTGTTCCTGTCCGATCTCTATCCTCGTTTTGTGAGCCAATATCCTGGATGAAGCCCTCGGGAAACTCGCATACGTTGATAGTACTCCAACACGTTCCTCAAATGATTCCGTCCTGAATTATGCGCCTTGCGCACACTCATAGAGTCATGCGTGAGGTAGACATCGCAGTAATCGCCTATACGAGTCGCAACGGTTAGCGGAAATCGATAAGGTTGTCCGGCCACGGCAAAAACCTACAGAAGAGTACATAGGAGTTAGTTTGAAGTCGAATCATCTGAGGAATGGGGAATACTTATATTTCGGCATCTTGAATGGTAATTCTGTTGATTCGACTGTTCCTTGTATCCTAGGCTAAGCTTTGATAGGTAGCGCTCCAAAAGCGCGTTGCGCGTAAGGTCGTGGAGAAGTTCAGCGTCGCAGGAAAAGAGAGACTTAGATAAATTTAAGACGCGCCAGTTCACTGCCAGTTAACACGACGTGAAGATTCGCGATGTTTTTTTGATTTTCAGAAGAGAGAGAGCTGGTGGTCGACGTTAGAGAATATCGATGGCGGAGGTTCGTAAATGGAAGGCGGTTTCAAATGGCAAAACCAAGCATATTGTCGACGGGCTTCATGAATGCCATCTTTAAGATGTGTATAGGAATATGTGCTTATCGGGGTGGTCTATAGATCTGATCGCATCAAGGACAATGTCAGGACTACTAGTTTGGATTTTGAATTCGGGGTTGTTAGTATCAGAACTTGCGAGATAGGTTTGCCTAAGATACGAATATGGATATATATTTGAGCAGAGTTGATACAGTTACGTTATTGACCACTACGGAGTACTTATCATCCTTACAAACCTTCCTGGGTCAAATAGACTAGCATCTGCGCTAAATGGCATTCACAACTGTGTAATGTGTGCCGAGATGGCACATCTTCAACCAGACACAACAAGTGTTTGCTCAGAAATGCAGCTCGAGCGACATCAACTCAATCGCAGACAGTCATAGCAGCCCGACGACGTGCGAAGGGGCCAAACTTTATGAGACGGTCGTGATTGAGTCAGTTGACGCAGAAGGTCAGAAACTGCATCCCTAACATGGGCACAGTTTGATGGAAAACCACCCTCTTGGCAAGATGAGATGCGCAGCCACCCTTCATTCCAGCTGATGAGCAGAATTGAAGCCAAGTGATCAATCCGAGTGCGCAAAGATCTTTTGATATCTGCCTGCATTAGCTGTACTCTGCACGGTGCAATTAGCACCAAGTATATGGCGATGGCAAAAACGCCTAGATGTAAACAAAGCGCCTGACAACATCAGCCACCAAAATAGCGCAAGTAAGAGTTGAAATGACATCCTTGATCTGTGTTTCTCAAAAATACAAGTCTTGGACTTGCAATACATTCAGACCATCACCTCATCGCAACACTCCCTGACGCAGACCGCATCTAGAGTCAAGAGATCACTCAAGGAACAGAAAACAGTACGTAACCGTTAGCAAATGGTTCTCGAAAGCCCAGAAGCATGCAGATACAACAGTAGTACGGAGTACTTGCACTTGTTGACACGATCCGCGCTGGACCGGCCGTGCAGAAATGGCGGATTTCCTTGTCATTCGTTGTCATTTGTTTGAAAGTGTCGCGGGGAAGTGCACTATGTCATCATAGTCTCCTCCCCGGCAAGGAAATTAAGGAGGTAGTCATGCAGCTAAGAGGAAAGAGTTATAAAGCGCATTACTCCGTACAAAATATCCCTCATTAATATCGGCTGCTGATACATATTCTGCGGGAGGCAGGAAAATCCGGGGAAGTAGATTCGATTCGGCTGTCATCGGTTTCCATTTTCGGATGCAGCCGGTTATTTTCCCGGATGGCCGGCTCGGTCATACGGTCCAATCAGGAGACTGGATTTGGGTGGGGGTTAGCCGATGATGAATTTTTTCTTCATCAGCTGACTGCTGAGTCAGGAACCCTGATTTGGTCTGGTCTGAGACGTTCCAAGCGTACCATGGCAACTGCTTTGAGAATGTCGGTCAGGGCTTTTCATGTAGAATATTCGAGGCTTGGTGCACTGATTCGAGAGTCCCCCGTGTGGCCTGATGATGAATGAGTGATTTCTTTCGTGATCGGGGCTGTTACTGAAAGTATGCAATGATGATCTGCCAGGGCTATGAGTACCCTGCCAAGAGGCCAGATCTACCGGCCAAGAGCGGCTGTAGTCAGGAGGCATCTTCAATAATTACTTGTCGAATAGCACACAGTTGGCATTATGAGATGCCCAAGAAAAATAGGTATGCTGGGCGAAAGGAATAGCCCCAGGCCCAAGGGCCAAATATGAGTACCGTGACCACAAAAAAAAAAAAAAAAACAAACTCGGTAAGGGCCAGTGAGGCCCAGCGGATGGGGCCTACCGAACACGTCGTTGGCCCTGACACATAGTAACCAGAACAGCGTGGTCAACGTGCTGCCGATGGGCGATGATGCAATGGTACAGCACTTTTCCCCTGTTATTCCATAAAAGTTCTATGGCATTATCATTGTACCATTTTGCATTATCCCTGCCAAGGACTTGGCTCGCAATACATGTTCAGTATTCAGGGATAGTATCTCCGTAGTATTATGGCGAAATTACAGGTAATAATGAACTTAACGCGTGATCAGTGAAGGCGTAGTTTCCATTACCCCCAGGAAATTGCTCGTCTTTCCCATTTTGAGACCCATGGCCCCCTGGCAGCTCTTGATTGGCCTTTCCGGGGGTTTCTGTTACGTAGCGCCACCACGCCCATTGGCGTCTGTTTGTCAGATGATCCGGGGGCGGCTGTCTGCGGTAACCAATTATAGCGGTCAGCAATTACGCCGTATTAAGTAACGCGCGCCAAGTGGGTTCTTGGCAAGGCAAAATTATGAAATTGAAAATTGAAAAAGACGCAGTCCCACTAAAGGCCCACTCCCTTACCCCATACGGAAGAGCCAATCATTAGTCGCAGGACGGTGCCTGGCAATGAATCTTTTGGTTTGTATAAAGCCCTGAGGGTCCCGCTTGTTGTCTGGGTCTGATTCACGGTGCAAACATCTTCAATTCTTCATTGTCCCCGTTGACCACCTTGTCACTACTATTCTCACGCTACGCTACCAACGGGACACCATACCTGACCTCTCTATTCCCACCTATATACCACCACAACATTCGGATGGCTTGGAACTGCATACAGCAAATAAAAAAGAGCTTTCAGTTCAATAGTAATAGTCATCATAGACATCATTCATAATGCCTGCGTCCACAAATTACCACGTCATTGAACCTCATCCCTCCGTCCCTCATACCTCCCGGCCGGCCATCCATACAGCTCGCGGCGGTGCAGGCAATGTCATCAGTCTAAAGAACACCAAGACCACCGATTCCCACAATGCCTCTGGCCCGCCTTCTCTCACCCGTCTGGACTCGCGTGTCCCCCGCACCTTCAAGTCCGGTCGTGGCGGCGCTGGAAACGTCCACAGCAGCAGTGAGCGTGCTATGTTCAGCTTCGACGAGGAATTGGAACGCGAATTGCGTCGTGTGGCCCCCGTATACCATGTTGGTCGTGGAGGCGCCGGTAACATGATTTCCAACGATACCTCCGGCTCGTCAACCCTCAGTCGCAAATTCTCCGGCAGCAGCGCGGGCACCAGCAGCAGCTCTCTCTCGATGGGTGATCAAGTTCGCGACAAGGCCATCCACGGTATACAAAAGGGTTGGGGAAAGTTGAGGGGTATGGCTTAAGACCTGCCATCTCTCTGCGCCAATGTGTCTTCAACGGGTGCCCAACTCGACTTTCAACCGTTACGAGTTTTACGACCAAAAAAGTTCTTCGATTTCTCCTCTCTTCTCGACTCTCCGTTCGAATCACCTAGACGCATTTTAATCTCCATTCCTTTCTCGATACCACGCCTACGAACAGCAACGGGCACGAAATCACTACTTTTCGAACCCCTAATGCAGGGGATACTTTGCTTCTCGCAACCTGTCTGTTACCAGCGTGTCGACTTTGATTGATACCCCTTGTTGATCAATGCGCACCCCGCATCGATTACATATTTCATTTCCTTTCTTCTCATTTCCTTTGTTCTATTTTCTTTCTTCTCGACTACCCCTTTTGTCTATCCTTCTAGGCTTGGTTCAGAAGGCTTTGAAATTTGCATTGGCAGTTTTGCATATCCATTTTTGTTGCATCATATCCTACCCCCATCCTCTTTTATGGGTCGGATGCTATCCTTTGGTTTTAGCTTAGTTACCATTCATCACAATATCAACTACTAGCTACTACTTTCTAGCTAGTAGGCAAATGCGAATTGTATTTGCCGGAGTCATCTGTTCCATACTGTTTTTTATTCTTCGTATGTGTAACAGATAGATCTAAGCTTCTCTTATATACGTAGTATGTTGAACCGCGTAACCCAAGACCATGAGGTGCTAAGCAATAGCATTGATCACAAGCTGTGCTCCTTTTCTGTGTATCGTCGCATTTGCTTAGCGTTCATATGAAGCTTATTGTCCCGTTTTCTCTTGGCAGCGAGTTCACCTATTCCTGTATAAGTAGTTTTTCTCCAAATAAACACATGTTTTAGAGGGGATCTTGGTTTTTGTAAGCACAGAGTACCTCATTTTCTGTACCCTGTATTACTCTTGTGCAGGTGTTCGGAGCAAGGTCTTACCCCACTCTCGATTCAAATAAGCAATTTCGTTGTAACCCCACGAATGATGTGCTGTAGATGAATGGGGTGATCCCAGAACCTAATCAAACATCGTAAAGCGTCGAGTCATTTTAGAGGTAGGGTTGATGGTTCTACATCATTTGCTATGTCAGTCACGGTCAACATCTGATGGTAATCCTACGTATTACCAGGAGATGAAATATTAAGCTAGATCCCAATATAACTGTCTATTCGTATGTACAACCGTGTCAACCGAAGCCAAGCATTGCCAGTAGATAAGTACAGTTTATGTAGAAAACTGCAAGTGTTCAGTCCACGTCATTGCTTTACATTTGGCAATCACGTTCGAATCCAAGACATAAAACATAAAACATAAAACAAACAAACAAACAAACAAACAAAAAAGGCTTGGATAATACATCGATTCAAGAAACTCAACTCGCATAAATTGAAGGAATTAACTCTCATGGGTATCAATAGCCGCTGCTCATATTCCAGAAAAAAGACCTCGGATAGCGGTGTCATGGATTGCTCGACATCTCGCTGGTCAGAGTTCAGCGCCAGTGTTGTGGACGATAATGCGGATGGAAGAAGAAGAGAGGAATAGGGAGACGTTAATCCATCGCTCGTGTCTTTTTTCATTTTTATTTTTTTGGTGGTTTCCCTTCTTCTGACACCAGGACGCAAAGCGTTCTTAGACGAATTTCCGGTGGATAATCTCGGGGTCTTCGTGCCATTCGTCTGCGCTAACCCACATCTGTTTTTTGTCAGCATGCTTCGATTCAACCCGTAGAACGACTCGACTCACCTTTCTGAAAGTACTCAATCCGGCAAGAATACCGCCACCGATCCATGTAGTGTACTTCCGTTCTGCAGGCGCAGAAATCCGAATCTTCATGTCCTCCACGGCCAGTCTCTTGATCTCGCGCATCAATCGGTCAGGGAAATTCTTGCAGAGTGTTGAACCGCCAGAGAGAACGATGTTGAGATATAGCGATTTCCGCAGGTCGAGGTCTGTCCGGGTAATGGCATCTTGGACAATCTGGTGGACACCGGGGTATTCGAGGCCGATGAGTTCGGGGTCGAAGAGGATTTCGGGGGCGCGGTAGCGTTCTTGTCCGACCTATTGTCATGGTTAGAAGGCGTCAGCAATGGAGACGGAAAAAGTGAAAACGTACCTTTATCTTGTAACCATCAGGCAAAGCATAATCCACCGATTTCGCCTCCGACTTGTGATAACTGTTCATCCAGTCCTTCTCCTCGCGCTTCGGATCCAACGAAACATAGCACACCTTCTCCTTGATCATCCGCACCACCTCCTTCTCGGCACTGGTATGCAGGACGTGTCCATTTTTCCTCAACAGCAACTGCAACTGCTCCGTAACGTCCCGCCCAGCAACATCAATCCGCCGTATACTATTTGGTATTGCGAATCCCTCAAACACCGGCACCGCATGAGACACCCCATCTCCCGAATCCAGTACCACACCGGTCGTCCGTCCAGACGCGTACAGCGACAACACCGCCTGAATAGAAGTGTACAGCGCAGGCACATTAAACGTCTCGAACATAATCTGTGCCGCAGCGTCACGGTTCTTGCGCGGGTTCAGCGGCGGCTCTGTGAGCAGCACGGGGTGTTCTTCGGGGAGGGTTTTGAGTTCGTTCTCGTAGACGTAGTGCCAGATTTTCTCCATGTCATCCCAGTCCGTGACAATGCCGTGCTCGAGGGGGTACCTGATCTTCAGCAGGCCGCGCAGTTCTTGCGCGCGGTCTCCGATAAACACGTCGCCTTCCAGACCGCCAGCCATGACCCGGGGGTGTTTTGGGCGACCGACAAAGGATGGGAAGTAGCAGGAGGGGACTTCTTCGCCTGCGAAGCCGGCGCGGATGGTGCCACTGCCATTGTCGATGACGATGGGGGCGTTGTGAAGTGTTGCTTCGGCCATTGTGTGGGGATGGAGAGGAAGTTGAGGAGAGAAGGCGGATGTGAAGTTTGGTGACCGACGGAGTTGTTGTTGTCTGAGAAGGCCCCACGGCCGGGGTTACTGAACGCGTAGGACCGACAAGGGTGTTAATTGTTGACAATTGAGATACAAACTGAAACCTGTCGTCGCTTGACAGAACGTGTGTGCAATGGGAAATGTAAAGTGGTGGCTTTACGGAGGGGGTCTCCAGTCCGCAACTTCGCGTCTCCGGGCCAAACAGCGGAGCTTGGGCCACTTGTATACATCCTCCATATGGACTATGTCACCACCAAGAGGTTCGTACATAGAAATAAACATTGATTATAGGCAGTCAATTGATTCTCGATCCTTTGGTTGTTCAATTTTTTCTATATACAATGCATTTAGTAGCAATAATGAGCCCATTGGCGCCAACCGAGTGAATATAACTGGTTTTATGCCCCAAAATGGTCAAAAGAATAAGACACATGAGAATAAACCTGCCATATCTTACTGCAGTAACACCTAGCGTACGTTGTACCGTGCGAATTGTGATAAATATACACAGCACGGCGTGGCTCAAGGCCTATACTTCCAACCCAAACTAATGTGACCCCAAATTGTCGGAATCAATCCACAAATCCAAGCTCGTCCGACATGACTTGTTGCAGTGTCGGCTGTTGTTGGTTTCGTCCGCGAACCGGCGGCCATCTCAACATGTGAGAGCGCAAAGCTTCTGCTTCACCCACAGTTTCGGATACCTCTCTGACAAATCATCAGCCAATTATTTCACTCGTAGTTGAGCAAAGGACGTACTTGACATTGCTGGCTATTACATAGCCTTGCTTTTGTAGCTCATTTGCCAGTTCTTTCTGATGATTATCCTTGAGGGAAGGATTCGGGACGACCACAAGTGGAACACCCAGACGCATTGCTTCGAGGATACTTCCTGACCCTAATATTCATTATTACCCGCCTGGCACACTCTGTATCAATAGGGAACCATTGTACCTGCGTGACTGATAATCACCCCGCCCTCCTGATCGAACTCAGCATTTGCCTGCGCCAGACGCATCTCTTCACCAAGCCCTGCCTGATTGAACTCGAACCCGGCAATCTCAATTCCATGACGAGCTTCGCTTCCTTCTGGATTGTTCTTGGTGAAATTCTCGCAGATAGCCTGGCCATTTTTGCCGTATTGAACGAGTAGATGCGTGTATCCGTGCTGCTTCAATGCGCCCAGGAACGTCTCGTTGAAAACATATCGAAGAAGTAGTTCAAATGAAGCCGTGGCTCCCACTGTTACAAAGCACAGCTTCATGGCCGGGTTCTGAGATTGAAATCTTGTAAATCTTTAAAGACTAGACGAATGGCTGCGGGGATTAGGAACCCTTTGATTGGCGAGGAAGTTAACTACAACCTCGTTCAAGCCAGAGCATATTACACCCGTATATATGGGCAAGCTAAAAGAATTCAATAAGATGAAGATATTGCTGAAGATGATGCCGAAAAGTAAAGTAGTAGTCCGTAGTACTTGACGCTGTTGGAAGCTATCCCAATCTGGTTTAGCGCCCCTCTGCCGCCAAGCCCCAAAAAACATCCTCCGAAAGTCCATCGAAAACCGTCCGGCGCAAGCACGGGAAATCCCACCAAACACTCAGCAACATCCGCAATGGCCTCCGTCACAAGGTCTCTAGGCCGTCCGGCCTTCTTCCTGGCCCGGAGAGGCCCCCTCGCCTCATCCTCGCGTTCGTTCTCCCTCACGCCTCTCAGATACATGCCCGAGGATCCCCCGGTCCCTCCTCCCCCAAAGGCACGGAAACCCGAAGACTACGCCGCCATGCCGGAATACTCGCCAGACCTGTTGAGTAAGCAGGAGCGGTCGATGTACGATATGATGGCCCCCGAGGAGAAAGAGCAATTCGATGCGGAGAACCGTCGGATTGTAGAGGAATTCAATGATCCGCAGAAGCGCGCTGCCGCGTTTGCTGAGATTGACAGTTTGGCGAACCAGGTGGAACGAGAGGAACCGATGCGGTTTAATGACGAGCCTGAGAGGAGACGGGGGTTCTGGGCGGAAGACGACGGTGATGAATTCGCTCTCGTCGAGGATGGTGACGAGGCGTTCAACGACGATGAAATTACCTCCATGGCTCATGCTGAAGTTGAAATGCACCGCGAGATCAGAGAATACGCACGCATTGCAGCATGGGACATGCCTCTATTGAGCCGTATGCCTGCCCACTCTTTCTCAATTGCGTTCTATTGCTAAAGTATTACAGACCTCGCAAAGCCCTTCACCCTCCCCCCTCAAACTCACATCCTCCGCTTCCGCTACACAACCTACATGGGTGAACAACACCCCGCAGAACCCAAGGTCGTCGTCGAACTGTCTACAAAGGACCTCACCCCCACATACCTCACCGAAGCTCAGCGCCAAACCTTCCTCAAACTCGCCGGCCCGCGCTACAACCCGGACACCGACATCGTCCGCATGTCCTGCGAAAAATTTAACACTCGTGCCCAAAACAAGCGGTATCTGGGTGATGTTATCAACAACCTCGTCAAGGAAGCTAAGGAGGGCGATTCGTTCACTGATGTCCCGCTGGATCTCCGGCACCACAAGCCCAAGCGGCAGCTGCGCTTCCCTGAGGAGTGGATTATGACCGAGAAGAGACAGAAGCAGCTGGAGGCGAGACGGGCGGAGCGGAAACGCGTGGAGGAAAAGAAACATATTGTGGATGGGAGTGCTGTTTTTGCGGAGGCAGCAAGGACATTGCCCGAGTTGAACCCGGCGTTGAGGGCGCAGGGAACGATCGAGCGGGAGAAGGTTGCTGTCAAGGTTGGTGCTAGGGCGAAGAAGTTACGCTGAACGGTTAAGACATGATCAATGCACTGTATGTTTTATGTTGAAAACAAGTGTTTAAAACGGGCGCATGTTCAAAAGGGTATTTAGACTCTATTCCAATGTATTATACTTTCTGGTTACTTTGCTTCCTACTCTGAAACGTATGTGTATCGTATGGACATCATATCTGTATTCCGTGTACATCCTGCTCTCTGACCGTCATGCCCTATAATGATATAAGAAACCCCTCCTGTTATAGTACACATACATATAACTCCAAAGCAAGATAACCCCAGAATCACAAAAGCATAATCTCTCGTATCTCAAAGAAAGGTCCAACCGCCAAAGCCACTCCAGTCCGATCCAGCCCGGTTCTTAGCCATTGTCACAACCATAGCCATATTATTCGCACCTGTAAGTCACCCACATCCATCCTGACAACCTAGATCAACGTTACATGTTCCACTATAGATGAAGTAGGTGAAGAATGTCCAACGATGAAGTGGAGAAAAGAGATGTTCAACCCGGTCATCCAACAATAGACACGTAAAAACAATAGAAAAGACAAACAAAAACAAACCACTTGGCCGTCGAGTCGTGATAAGTGACCATGTTCAGAGGTCGGATATATTTAACCGTGTAGTTTCCACCATTTCGTTGTATCAAAAGCCAAGTGGTCCTCGCATCTGACATGATTGAAACAAGAAACAAACGAAAGGATGAAAGTGTGAAAGAAATCGATCAAACAAACGGACATGACTACTTTCAATGACCATGTCCATTAGCAGACTCAACACCGAAATCAAACAAATCTTCTTCGGAAGAATTCGTGTTCGCAGTCTTCTTCCGGTGATAGCCCCTCTTACTTCCAATAGCGCCTGGCATGACCCTGTCCTTGTTCTTGTTATAGAACGCTTGAGGACTCGACTGAGAAGACAACGAGGTTGGCGAATGGGTAGATGGAGAGGCCACACGGGTAGGAGGGTCAGAGCTGCCCAAGACGCCGATAGGGCTCGTGACCTGAGATCCGTTTGTGCCCTTGGAAGCCACGGAAGCAGCACTGGAGTATGTGCTGTTACCATGTTGCGTATTTCTGAAGGAAGCTTGGTCATGTATTTCGTGGTTTTCTCCAGGAACGACTATCTGGGAACGAGGTTGATAGAGACGACGGCCCTTTTGGGTCTTCTTGGAGCGTTGCTGGGTCTGGTTCGGGCCAAGGGGAGCGGGGAGGTAGTCTGGGGTGTTTGGCATGAGCGATTGGAGATTGCGGACAATCCCTTCACGGTGGGCCTCATCGTGGGTCTTGGTGTCGGTATTGTTGGCATTGTTACCAAGGCTTGAAGCAGTATACGTCACTCCACTCATGCCACCATGTAGGGCGTCAAGAGACGGATAGTCCGGAAGAGGATCGAAAGACAGAAGATCAATCTTCCTGGCACCGGGCGCACCCATGCTCTGACTGGCGACATTTCTTGATCCATGTCTCTGGGAGCTAGGAGCCCTGGGCGAATTTATGGCAGGATAACTAGCGCGAGGATTTCCAGGGAACATGTTCGTCCCGTTTCCATTTTCCTGCTGGAGAGCAGGAACGTAGCTGGCCGGCTTCTGCTTCGAAGCTTTCTCTGTATCTGACGAAGGAGTAGTGGTTCCGTTATATCGCAGGCGAGCTGGATACTGGATAGATTTGACTGTGACACTGTCTGCAGCATCGTCTCTCCAGTTCTGGCTGTTATTGGTACTAGCACGAACATTGACACTCCCAGGAAGGATGCTGGGGACGCCGTGTTTTTCGCGGTACCAACGAGGGATGTCACGAAGACCGAGTTTCTCCAGCATAGAAGGATCCGTGGGCATTTCATGCTTGTAGAGGCAGCCTAGAAAGCTTTTGTCAGTGGATTTATTCTTTCTTTCTTTGGAAAAAAAAAAGCGCACCCTGCTGTTGATAATCACATTCCCCATGACGAATCCAATAGGAGCAGTATTCTTTTTTGACATTAAGATTGGGACCCTATAAGGTCAGCCTGCTGAATTTTAAGATGATTAAAAATAGACTAACCTGCTTAGGGCCTCCCGCTCTCCCGCCACTACCACCAGCAGGGACCAACCAACTACTCGCAGCCGCAGTCTGAGCTGACGAAGTCCCAGCAGCGCCAGACGCCCACTGTGGGTTCAAAGCCTGCTGAATCGAAGAATGCAACGCCAGACGTTGGTTGGCAGGAATACTCTCGTCAGAAAGAATCCGCACAAGCGAAGCCTGCAGCTCATAGTCTCGAGAGCGAGCACCAGCGCCACCAGCAACAGCCGCAGCGGAATTTCCAGTCGCAGCTCGCATGGGAGCATTCGGGAGACTGTCAACGACGTAGGTCTGGTTTCGTGCGTTGACGGTCCCCAGACTGGTCATGCCTTGGGTGTCGTTGGCGGACAGAGCCCGTGAGACGCCGCGGATGGAGATGTGCGAGGGTAGCTCGTCCACGGCGATCAGAGGAGTCACAGTGCCATTAGGACGCGTGCAAAAGAACTGAGGACGGAGAGGAGAGGCCATTTTGTTAGATAGGTTTTGATGAGGGGAGACTTTGTTGCTTTTTCCCTGCTTTCGGAGGGTTTGCTTTTTTGGAGATGGCGAAGCACTCGTGCAAAGACAAGAAAATAGTATACGAATAGAACAGAAATAACGTAAAATACGAAGAAGAGCGAGATATTACAGAAAAAGAATAATAAAGAAGAGAGAAAGAAAGAAATAAATGTGTAGCGAAAAGAGGCTGGAGGGGGAGGATGGTGAATGTCTGCCCCAGGGAGTCAGAGTACGTAAAAAGAAAGCAGCATTCACTGAGCAAAGGAGATGAATATAGAGAGAAATAACAAGAAATATTGCAGATATAAAATATACAATCTAGACAGAGATTAGAAGATGGCGAGAGAATGTACTTGTAGAGAGTTGAAGAAAAGAAGAGCGAAGACAGAAGAGAAAAGTATGAATAAAAAGGTATCCCTCATACAACACCAATTTACTATCAAAAGAAAAAGTAAATAAATCATGCGTTTTTCTGTAGCGCTGTTTGCTTCGATTCCGTTTTTGTTTTCAACAAGTACCACTTCGGCAGCCTGCAGCAAACATCCATCAATCACCCCCGGATTTTACATATCTCTTCTTGTGCATTATAGATTAAGAAGAAGAAATAGAAAAAGAGAAGAAAGAGCGAACAAAGAATTCAGGTCGATTGCATTCCAATGATCCTAGCCCTATATTGATATATCGCTGAAATAAGAACTATGATCACTGACGGGAATCGAGGAATTGTCACTCACAATGCCACGTTTTCCCCTACACGATGTTATAGTACAAAGTAGGCAATAATTATCTGGATAATAACGCATAGGATATATTATAATTATAATAGCTATGTTACAAAACAGATCTCAAATGCCCCCATAAATCCCGACCATAACGCCCATATCGATCATCAAATGCATTACCCATGTCCATTCAACCAAGTTTTGAAACTGGTTCGCCATGAAGGATTGTTGGACACAGAACCTATACCTGTATTGTTAGTTTCACTATGCCCAGTCAGATCGATCGCGGACGGTGGCCCCGGACCGACGCCAGGTCCAGGTCCAGGAGTAGGTCCACCAAGGACCGGGGATAAGGCTGCTGTCCCATGAATGCTATTCTTTTTTTGGTCATCGAGAGCACCGAGGGCGGCAGGTTTACATCCCGGGGTCGGAGTCTGGTTTGGATTCAAGCTCCTCCGTCGACGGGCCAGGTCTCCCTTGATACCACCCACGTAGATTCGTGCTAGGTTTCGAATCTCACGATCTTCCATGGAATTCTTTAATGCTTCGAGCATGCGCGAAAGTTGTACCTCGGACTGGAAGTGTGGGCAGGTCCGTCTGACTCCGTAGTGTGCAAGTCCACAAAGGGGGCAATGCTCGACTCCGGCCGATTTCAAACGGCACTGACCCGGGGGGTGGCTTCGGTTGCAAGCGTAACAGACGAGAGTATTTTCTGTTACGGGTGCTGGGGCTGATGGAGGTTCGAGATCTGGAAGATCGACACGTTTAAACGGGGCCACTGCCATTTTTGTCAGTACCTAACTTTATCATTCACTATTGACCGTAAAAGGAGAATCACCCTTGGTCCTCTTCGTGGGCGAATCTAGATCATCCGACATCATCCCTGGGCCTGAATCCAAATCCGACTCCGGCACATCAAGGTTGCCCGCTTGAAATTCGATATCACTATCGTCATCTTGCCGGCGAGGCTTGGCTGGTGAGACCTCTGCAGCATGGCTATAGTCAACTGCTGTCCGCTTGCGTTTACCACGACCGAGGTTCTCTGCTTTCCCTTTGGACTCTTCTTCCGCTGCTTGCTCCCGCTCTCTCAAAATCTTTTCCCAAACACTTGGGTTGACCGGTCCCTCATCCACTGCGTCGTCTAGCTGACCATTGAGGTTCTGGTTATCGTTGGCCCACACACGCGCGAAACTGAAGGGGTCCTCTGTACTATTTGCGTCAGGCATCTTGGTTTGTTCAACTTGACTGCGATCGAGGAGTTTGTCGACGGATTCCGAGTCGTAGTGGATGTCACCAGAGTCATCGTCATCAAAAAGCGCCTGAGCACCATGCCGTAGAATAGATTCTAGATCGCGACCATCATCTTCTTCGGCGATCATCCGGTCGATCAGCACATGATCCAAGACCATTTTCTTTTTCCCAATCTGCATGATTTTCTCTTCTGCACTACCACGCGTCATCAATTGGAATACAAGCACTTTGTTCTTCTGCCCAATCCGGTGAGCGCGTGATGATGCCTGCATATCCTGGTGAGGATTGAAGTCTGGATCCATGATAATTACGGTATCCGCAGTAGCTAAGTTAATACCAACACCTCCGGATCTAGTTGACAAGAGGAAAACAAAGTACGGCGATCCTTCAGCATTGTACTCGTCGATCCGCTTTTGCTTCTCCATTGCTGGCATTCTTCCATCGAGACGATGGTACAACATGCCCAGTCCATCGAGGAAATCTTCTATGATATCAAGATGCTCAAGGAACTGACTGAAGATCAATACCCGATGCCCGCGTTGTTGAAGCTTAGGTAGCATCAGGTGAAGAAGTCGAAGCTTCCCGGCTGCTTCGACTAAGTGCCGATGAGATGCAGTAATATCGGGAGTGCGCTCTTCAATGGCCTTGCTGTACAGGAACGGATGGCAAAGACATTTTCGCAACTGCAATAGGATATTGTTCAAGTTCTTGCGCTCGACCTGCTTCAAGCCTGTCTGGTCGCCTTTTCGTTGGAAGATTGTCTCAATCAATTGAGGATTCTTTGCCAAAATCGACTTGTAAAGCTTCTTCTGCACAACAGACATCGATACAGGAACAATGATGTTGGCAATAGGAGGAAGGAAGTTCAGGACTTGTGCCTTAGTCCGACGCAGGAAGAAAGGCCTGATCATTTCATGCAACTGAGGGATGTTATCCTTCGATAGCACTCCGTACTCAGCCTCCATGTCTTCCGCTTTGATGCTCGGATCACAGAATTGAAGCAGGTTGAAGAGTTCTCGCGTGTTGTTCTGAAGAGGTGTACCCGTAAGGAGAACTTTGAATGGGAACTCGATCTTGAAAAGACTTTCGTAGAGCAGACTCCTGTCGTTCTTCAAACGTTGCCCTTCATCCACGACAAGACCGGCCCAGGGGATTCTCGAAAGCATCTTCCGAGAATTCTCGTCCACCATGGTTTCATATGATGTTACAACAACATGACACCGAAGATCGGAGCCTTCTTTGCCAAACATCTCATAGTCCTGGGCCAACTTGCGAGAGAAAGCGGATCCGTAGTATGTGACAACTCGAATAGAAGGAACCCACTTCTTGATTTCCTTGCGCCAGTTGGGACATGTCGAGTTTGGAACGACAACCAGAAAAGGCCAGCACTTGTGGTACTGAATAAGAGTCGCAAAGAAACTGATAACCTGGATCGTCTTCCCCAGACCCATTTCATCAGCAAGAATAGCATTCTGCTGCTTGAACCACATGTAGTACAACCAATTCAGGCCATCCTTCTGGTACTCCATAATCTCACCACCGGTCATCGATTCAGGTTGAGTATCGCGAACAACAGTCGTCTTGAAATTTTGCTTCCGAACGTAGGAAAGATGCTTCCTGAGTGCATCCTGACTTAGGGTTTGGATATAGTCTCGCCGAACCCAATCCTCGTATGCTTCTTTGAAATCGGCCCATCGCTCGGAGTTGGGCTCCGGAGGGGTTTCCCACACAGACTCCTCGTATGGTAAGCCCTTAAACTTGACGTATGCCTCCTTAACATCGTCGATTCGCGCAATGTCGACTTCTTCGCTGCGATCCTGCGGCTTTTCAGAATACCGGACATCAAAAACAATATCGATACGCAAGAAGTCTTCTGGGACTGCCTCTTCGGCCAACTCCTGTGGATTTATGTCTTTGTCTGATTTTAGGAACGCTCGCCGCATGGCATGTTTTGCGACTCCCCACACCCAAGTACCGGGCATCCATGTAGTGTGATGGTATGACTTGTCACGCCACCTGATGAGATACTCCTTTTTGTCTTCAGATAGCTTACTTGCTGCACGATCGACGAGGTCGGGTTGGACTGGCCGCCAGGCGACCATGGCAGCAATTTCATCTGGGGCCGATATACAATCGAGACACTGCCAGTGCGACGAATATTGCTGGAAGCGCGAAACCGCAACATTGTCACCATCATCATCTGACAATGGAGGTAGGTGGTCCAAATGGTAGGCTCTGCGGCAGCCAGAGCAGCGGAAGAGGAGATTTTCGACGTTATTAATGCGCGCCATGTCGATAGAGATGATAGGATCTTTTCCGCCATTTTCTTGACGAAGCTGTTGTTCTTGCTTAGGCGATAGGCGTTCCCTGAGAGGTTTGGACAGCGGTCCCTCGTCGTTACACGCGTTGCAGTGGCCTAGATGCGGAGACAAACGATCTTTGGCATGAACGACACCCAGGCAATGACGGCACTGAAGAACAAAATTATCGTCTGCAATTTTTGTAACGAGGTGATCTCTGTTCCCCCGCGGGCCTAGGCAAACTTGATGGTAGGAGAAAGTGCAACCTTGACAGAAGACCAGCGGGCCTTTCTCATTATCATTACCAGATATACCGCAGACATCGCAAGTGTTAAGATGACAGAGTCTGAACGGATCGTGTCGCGGGACTGTATGGAAAGCCTCTTTGGCGCCGACATATTTTTTCTGCTTCGCCCTAATTTCATTCTCGGAAATATCATCTTCAAATCTTTCGCGCAAGTTGCTTCGTACTGTCCTCCTGTCCCGCGTAGAAAATCTAGTGCCCTTCGATCTAGGCTTATCAAAGTAGTCGGATATCCTGGATGATTGCCGCGTGTTTTGCCTTGAACCTTTTTGTCGGACGTCCCCCCGCGACCATCTTGCTCTTGAAGTTGCCGCAGAAGAAACAATCACGTCGTCGCTCGATGAGCTCATAATACCCCCGTCATCGTAGCTGTTCACTCCAGCAAAGAATCCTGTGAGCCGACGGCGGGGTTTGGTTGCACGCATCGAACGTCTGGCATTGACTAAATGAGATTCGGTAGAGTCGTAGTCTTCATCTGAAGGAATTGTAATTTGTGAATCCTGGTCCGACGATTCGAAGCGTTCGAGGGCTTCCGGTCCATTCTGGAGGTTTTGAAGCTGCGTCAAGTTGACCTATTAAAGAAGAGGCTTTAGCATCCCAGGCATCAAGTACAAGCAGCAAACCGGACCTTACTATTTGCAATTCGCTGCTCCGCATTCGAACTTTGTACACAATATCCCCGTCGTCATCCTGCTCCTCGCTGATGATATACCGGACGGCTGAATGCCCCGGAAGGTTTTTATACTCCTCCCCATTCACTACCGCCGGAATCTCCACTGCCGCTAGCTTCAACCCTGATGGCTGGCCATCCTCTATAGTTACAGCTAGTTGTAGTGTTTCCTGGAGCTCGTTCACAGGTTGGACTCGAGAGCCCGTAGACTGAGAGTTGTGTGAGCTCTCTGCGGCCGGTTGCTCTGCTTGGGCTTGCGCACTAGCCGCATCGAACTGGGAAAGAAGATCCACTACAAAATCATCATTGGGGCCAAGTTGAAAACCCCAATCCATGGTTGAAAGCGAATGAGTGGCGAGAGCGACTTGGTAGGGTTGGGGTTGTCGAAGGTAGCAAAAGGATCCTCAATTCGCGGGCATTCTGTTGAGCAAAAATAAACCAGCATATGGCGATTTCAAGCAAGCGACGGCAAGAATTAATGAGGGCAAGAACGAGGGAGAGACCGTTTCCCTGGTAAAAGTTAGACACGCTCAGTTCTTAACAGGTAATATTGCTTGCGGGTACCTGTGAATATAGACGCGCAGTGACGCGAATCGCGCCGGAACAGCATTACCCCGCTTATCTTATCGGTGATCTTCTGCAGCAGAGAATTCAGGTTGAATATTGATTGATTAGACTGCTGTGGCTGTCTCTATTCGCTATGTCCATGCACGCCTCTCTTGGCTCTCTTAGAGCGCGTATCCGTTTATCAAATGCTCCATCTGCCCGGTTGACTACTGTCCGACATGCCTCTCTCAACTCTGCCATCGGCCGTGGCATTCGCAATTCTCGCGGGCTAGACGATTCTCCATCGCGAAATCCTCCAAGAGACAACAACCCTCGGTATGGGCCTCCAAGGGATTATAATCCTCGCAATGGGCCTCCAAGAGACTACCATCGCAATGGGCACAAGGAATCAAGGCCACGGAACCGCACGAACTATGACGACCGGGGAAATGCACCATTCGATATAGACGAGTTCGTCCGATCAGGGGACTTCCGCGAAACACCTGGCGAACCGCAGCCACGCAGAGTGGCACGTGAAAAGGTGGACAGGAACGAAACCCTAAAGAAGCTCACCAGAGCCAAGAAGCGCGAACCAGTACACAAATGGTCAGAAAAAATGCCGGAACGGGTAAAGGAACACGTTTTTGTGCCTAAATCGATCCCTTATACCACGCCTGCGTCTGAGTTCATTTACGGGACCAATGCTGTCGAATCGACGCTGCGTTGCAGCCGGCGAAAAATCTACAAGCTGTATATATACCAAAACAAGGGTGAGGAGTTAAGTCCGGCAAAGCTTACGCTGCGCAAACTCGCTTTAGTGAAGAACATTCAGGTCAAAATGGCGTTCGCAGAATGGGATCGTCTGCTTGACAAAATGAGCTCCGGACGACCTCATAATGGCTGTGTTCTCGAGGCATCACCTTTACCCCGACTCCCTATTCAAAGCTTTGCCCCCGTTCCATCTCCAGAAGAAGAATCCTTCCGCGTGGAATTGGGTTCCCAATCGCGCGAGGAAGCATTGATTAACGGCACAAATAACCACATCGAGATTCATCAACCATCCCAACAACAGCGCCGACGATATCCCGTCACCTTGCTCTTAGACGGCATTGTTGACCAGGGGAATCTCGGCGCAATAATCCGCTCCGCATATTACCTGGGCATTGACGCAGTTTTATTCGCTGGCCGAAACTCGGCGCCTTTGTCTGATGTGACGATCAAGGCCTCTGCGGGAGCCTCCGAAAACATGACCCTTCTTGAAGTCGGCAATGAAAGGGCATTCATTCAACAGTCTAAGGCGAATGGATGGCGCTTTTATGCAGCCGATGCTCCCGGCCCTGGTTCTACGCTTGAGAGCCAGCACAACGCAGACTCTACTAGCGGTGACAGTCCATTCACTCAAGGGCCCAGCGTGATTATGATGGGAAGTGAGAGCAGCGGATTGGGCCGTCATTTCATATCCCATGCAGATGCCATCGTGAGCATTCCAGGATCACGATTTGTTGGCGGTTTGGGCGTTGAGTCTGATCCCGCTCGTGTTGACAGTCTCAACGTCAGTGTTGCTGCGGCGCTATTGATGGAAAAGTTCTTACGGGCTCCGCTTGCAGTGACCGAGATACCGCAGCAAGGATGAACCGGAGTCGGTTTGCATAATGGCATTGATTGTAGCATAGTGTACTGTGGATAAAAAGATTATAGACGATGGAAAACATGAACTTCTACGAAGTGACGATGTCATATTCTTGTATACAAATGGGTTTTTGCATATCGAATTATCATTCCCTTCTTCTGGTACATTTTTGATATCACAATCCAATAAGTTATGGTATTACACGAAATGAAAGAATAAACGAGAAGAAAGTAAGAAAGCATCTATCTATTCAACGCCAGTCCGGGATAAAACGTAACCCAACAGACCCTTCCAGGCCAAATGCACCACCATACCTGCAAAACGATCAAACGCTAACAGACTCGGTTTAGAATATTACTTCTTGCGACTCTTGCTCTTGGGCGCCGTATTGGAGGAAACACTGGCTGCCCGTGATGTCGAGGCAGAATTGGATTTGCTACCGCCCTTGACAGCTTTGACCTGCTTGTTCTGCTGTGATTGCATGTTAGCGAATATTATCCAAGAGAGAGGACGGGCTTGTCACATACCACGGCGCCGTTCTTGGTTTTCTTCTTCGCGGGAGCTTCTTCTTCAATCTCCTCGTCTTCATCCTCACGCCCACGTCCACGTCCTTTACTGGCTTCTCCATTGGCCTTCCCATCTCCAGGCTCAAACTCCTTGGCAACGGTGTTGAGAAGCGTTGTGCACCTACGCCCAATTTCCACAGGAGTGCGACTCAGGAAGAACCAGTCAAATCGGAAGAGGGGCGACTCGCGGATTTCGTCACGGATCTTCTCATAGAGGCCCTCACCATCGACACCGTACCGGTCAAGCATCACCAATAGGAACCGATCTTCCTCTTCGGTGTAGACCTTCTTGTTCGTCGTGGAGACAGTGTAGTTGATCTTGAGTTGCTGTAGAGGAACACGGTACATCTCAATCTTCTTGCGGAGCATCTTGCGCTGGTGACCCATCTTCCGAAGTTTCTCTTCACCTTGATCAATGACGCGGAGATACTTGGGGTAGTCTTGAATTTCGGTGTAACGCTTCCAGAAAAGACCCGCGTACTCCTCGACCTCGTCCGCATCCTTGCTGTCGACTTCGGTGGCAATGCCAGAATAGTCATTGCGTCCAAACTTGGCCGATCCGTTGATGAATTGCTGAAAGTCCCGACGGTTCCAGGTCGAGAAACCTTCTTCAGACATCTTCGCCTTCTTGGCTTGCTCATCCTCGGTCAAGGGAACAGCATTATCAATCTCCTGTTGCTCCAGATCACGTTCAGCCTCGCGTTCACTGAGCTCTTCTTCGGGTCCATCTGGAAGTTGGGCCTTGTAACCAATCTCTTTGTGGAAATAGGCGGTTTCTTTCTCCTGGAGCTCCTGCAGACCAGGCGGGAAGAATTGCCAGTCGTGGACAGCAATCTGTTTGGGTGCGCGGGGAACCTTGGGCTTGGGATCCGCGGTCCTACCACCGGTAGCCAAGGCCTGACGGTAGTATTTGTCGATGGAGTAAAACTGCTCCTTCCGTTCACGCTTCGCCGGGTTGATCCAATTGATTCCAATGTCCTTTTTGCGCTCGGTGAAGTCTTTACCATTCCACTCATACGCGCTCTCAGAGCTGAACTTCTGAAGGTCATCGATACCCAACTTTTCATATTTCTTGTTCAACATTGCGGTTCGCTCTTCACCCTTGCGCAAGATTGCATCGATGTCATCTTCTGATATTTGATTTTCAGATGAAATGGTATTGTTGTCCTGACCAAACAAGCTGGCGGCTCCATGCTGGATCATACCAAGCAGCTCATCCTTCGAAGCGGCGTTCTTAGCTTGCTGCTGGGCACGGCCTTGTTGGATAACCAGTTGGTCAAGCCGCAGCTTCTGTGCCGCTCGCTCCAGAACTTTCTCTTCAATAGCCTTTTCCGTAACGAATCGGAACGCCACCACTTGCTTCGTTTGGCCAATACGGTGAGCACGGTCCATGGCTTGAAGATCAGCTTGGGGGTTCCAGTCACTATCATAGAGGACCACGATATCTGCAGAGGTAAGGTTGATACCGAGACCTCCGGCTCTTGTGGTGAGAAGGAAGACAAATTTGTCCGATCCAGGCTTGTTGTAATCGTCAATCGCGGCAATACGATCCTCATGAGCTGTCGTACCGTCGATACGACAGTAGTTGTAATCCCTGAAGACACAGTAGTCTTCCAAAATATCGAGAACACGGCTCATCTGGGAGAAGATAAGTACCCGGCTTCCTTGCTTCTGCATGCGTGTCAGGATCTTGTCAAGGATCACCATCTTCCCTGAGTTGTAGACAAGATGCTCATCGGTCGTGTATGGCGGGCCAGGCTCAGCACCTTCAAAAAGGTATGGGTGGTTACAGCATTTGCGGAGCTGCATCACAATGTTCAACAAACGCGTCTTCGACTCGCGCTTTCCTGCTGCTCCGTTCACTGCGTCGATATCCTTTTCGAGAATCTTTTGATACCACTTCACCTGCATTTCAGACATGGGCACGTACAAGTTGATCTCCTTTTTGGGAAGCAGACTCTTTTCAACATCGCTTTTGACACGTCGCAAAAGGAAAGGTCGCAAAACCCGATGGAGCTGCTGCACCACAGTGTCTTGATCGGAATCCTGAGTTGAGAACCATTGGTCGAACGCCTCCGAGTCACCGAACACATCCGGCAAAAGGAAGTTCAGAAGGGCCCAGAGTTCATGCAGGTTGTTTTGAAGCGGGGTACCGGTAATCAGCAGTCGATTGCGCGAGTTGAAGACGCGGATGATTTGAGCCAAAGACGATTCCTCGTTCTTAATCCGATGGGCCTCGTCGATGATAATGTATTCCCATGCAAACTTCTTAAGGTGTGTTTTCTCCCGTAGAACCATTTCGTAACTGGTAATACAAACATCGAAATTTTCTTGGAGAAGCTCTTCGTTGATCAAACGTTGGCGCTCTTCCTTGTCACCCTGAAGCACCAAAACCTTAACATCGGGCGTCCACTTCTCAAACTCTCTCTTCCAGTTGTCCAGAGTCGATTTCGGTACAGCAACAAGATGAGGGCCAGGGATGTCACAGACGTAGCGCAGATATCCAAGGAAGGAGATAGTCTGCAGGGTCTTACCCAGACCCATCTCATCTGCCAAAATACCCGAAATACCATTTTCATGGAGAGAAACGAGCCAGTTCAAACCCGCAACCTGATAATCACGCATCTCACCTTTGATGAATGGCGGGGTCTCTCGAAAGACTGTACCGGTTTGTTCTTCACTTTCGTCATTCAACAATTCAGCATCCTCCTCCTGCTCCGTCCTGCGGCGTCTTTCGCTACCCGCGCCACCTGACCGAGAGGTACCCTTCTTCTTGGCCTTGGCTTCGTCTGCATTTTGTCTGTCAATTTCGGCAATGATTTCTTTGATTCGAGGATTTGGATTCGTTTCGATAAAGTGGCGGAACAAGTCGGTCAGACCAAGCAGGTAGCGGAACCGTCGAATAGAGTCACTTTCCTTTGAACAGAAATCATCGTAAGCAACTGAAAGAAAGAACATCGATAGATTCTATGCTCCAATTTACCTTGGATTCATCTAGACGGCCATGCTTCTTACCCAGAACATTTTTCCTTTGGCTAGATTCTTGAGATCTTCGTTTCCGGCCATCCACAGTCGTGTCGCCTGCAACACTGTTCTCATCCTTGATAGAAAAAAGTTAGCTATTCAGTTCATGAATAGTCGTCAACCCAGAGACACAATTACTGTATGCTCTGGATTATCCTGGTAACCCTAAGATAGGATGAGGGTCTCAAGAAGAGTTCTCCAAAGATTTTGTTGGGGCAAAGACTGTGATGCGCACGGATTGGGACAGGGTGCGACAGGGCAGGAGTTTCGACATCACTCACCGTCATCTGCGCGTCGGTACTGTCCACGGGCACTGACGTGAAAGCTTCTTCATTTGCGTCGGTCATGGGGGTGTCCGCCTGAGACGGCGTGTCCGACTGGGGATCTTGGGATTTCGAAGGCGCAACCATCTTCGTCCTCAGCGCACGGAAGCGCAAGTCTCTGATCGGTTCGGTTAACGACTCAACAAAGGTCCTGGAGGAGACGCGGATAAGTATAGGATGTACACAAATAGAATGACCTAGGACAAGTGAAAGAAGAAAAAAACGAGAAACAATTGATGTCCCTAGATGTAGGATGAAATCTGGCAAGCGCAAATACCTCGAACAACAGAGATCCGAATTGACAATTGAGAAGGAAAGATGGACAGGTTCGAAAGACCGCGATCCACGGGATGGCAATTGGGAGTTTCGTCGGCGGAAGCGCGGTCTACACGCGTGCTGATTGGTGAACTCGGCACGCGGCGTGTATGAGTCAGCCGTGAGTCAGCTGTGAGCGGAAGACAAGTTTCCCCGCGGTGGGTCACGTTACCGGGCCAAACGCAAAGCAAAAGAAACGCTGCGGTCATATCTGCAGCTTCGTCCCCTCTGGCTTACAACAACACTGCAGAACTTACCTGGACCGTTGTTCGGTGTTGTCTCGATTTCGTTTAGGTATTCTTTCCCTCAAATAATTTGGATTCCTCTTCTGTTTCCTTTAATTCCTTCGGTTTCTGCATCTCCATTCTCATCAACGGCTCTGACTAACGAGGGACGACTTTCAAGGCACAAGAAAGGAGGAGCTGTTCAAGTTACAGCCACCTATCCAACATGGACTCCATGAGATCGTTGAACACTTCCTTGCCGAGCTCGACTCCTCGTCCTCAGCCCCCTGAGCAACTCCTGCAGTCGTTCAAAGCTGCCGCCCTATCCGTGACCAACCTATACAAGAATGCTGTCTGCGAACAATCCCAGGCAAGGCAAGCGGGCTACCAGGAAGCAATTGAGGATCTGTTGCAGTTCCTCGACAGGGAGAATTTGGGCTTAGGAGATGGAGAAGGCTGGTCGGTTCGACAATGGGCAACGGAGAGACTGGATGGCAACGGAGTTCCTGGTAGCGACGATGACGATATTGAGAAGCGAGCTAGGAGCACAACGCCGGCTGCAGTCCGCAAGGAACAACATGGGCCAGACGCTTCGCAATCACCACCCAAACCCGCCTCGTCTCCCCAGGAAGCGCACGTTGCCCCGCAGCAACAGCAACAACAACAACAACAGCAGCAGCAGCAGCAGCAGCAGCAACCAACACCATCATCACAGCTAGAAGCCAACTCCTTCGACAAACCAGCTATTTTCACATTCACGTCTGGCCCTTCGTTCCCTCAGCCTCAAGAGCAAGATGTCGACATGCAACCGTCGGAAAATTCTTCCGATGGAGCACCTGTTCTCTCCGTCTTCCCTCGCAACTCTCGCTCGCAGCATCGCCACAACAACTTGACACGATCCAACCAACGTACGTCGACACGAGAGCCATCTGTCGGGGTAGGCTCGAAAAGGAAACTTGCCGTTCCTGACTTCTTTGACTTGTCCGATATGTTCGGAGGGGGTAAAAGGGGACGTTTCACCTAAAGAATATGAAGTCGGATGACGGGACGAAACTTCTATTCTTACGGTGTCACGCAGCGGTTGATTGACTCGACATTTTGCATTTCGTGGGAGTTGCATTTGCTTTCTGGTTTTTTCGCCTTCATATTTTGATATATTCTGTTATTCTTTTTTCTTCTTTATTTCTTATGTTTTATGTTTCTTAAATCATTTTAAACACATAGACCTTATTGAGCAGGGCGATACCCGGGGTGGAGGCTATTCTTCTTCATTTGAGTCGTATAAATACAATCTATCTTGGAGAGCAGTAACATCACGTCGTATCCAGCACTGTACAGAGCATACCAGCTCTTAATTGATTGCCCTCCAGATCCCCATGCCTACCAAGGTTGCCGAAATAGTTGCAATGCCTAGCTGTCGAGAACCCATCTTGTATTTGGTTGCGCTTTGCATGATTGTCTTCTCCTGCTGGCGTAGATTTTTCATTCCCGTATAGTAACTGTAGATGCCCAGACCAACGAATGCGGCAGACCCTGGAATAGCCCTTTGTTAGACGATCTTAACAAGAGAGCATAAAGGCCACAGACACACCTGTTACTCTGCAAGAAAGGCAGTCATCGAATGTATCATCGGCGATGGCTCGTTTAGCATCCTTGCCCTGGATATTCCAGGAGTCATTCTGTGTGGGTGCCATGATGCGTTGGCCAAGAAGGTTCTCTGAGACCAGCTGTAAATGCCTATAGCAAGCGGATAGACATCAATTTGTAGCGATAGCACTCATCTCCATCTCGAACTGGGGAAAACTTGAGGAAGGCGGGCATCCACGGCAGAATCGGACCTCTCCCGATTTGGGAATATCTTCAACGGAGTCAATCACTGAGCGTTCTGGGAGTTTGCAGCATCCAAACGGCTCGATTCGAGCAAGACACGAGCATTTATTGACATGATGGGCGGCGAGATCGATGCGCTCTACATCTATGATGAGCATAAGTATAGAACACCCTTCTCCTCCCGCAATCTGGTTCCTCTGGCTATATACAACCGCGGCTCTGCTAACTGCTGCGAATTACCATTTCTAGTCAACCCTTGGTAGAGCATGTATATCGCTCGCGCCCGCCATCTGCAGCAACACTCCGGCCGCTATACTTTGCCCATCCAGCCCCGCGCCCTTCGCTTCTTTACTTCCCGAGCACCTCGCCGCCGGTAACCGTGTTCTCCGTGGTCCAGTCGAATCTACTCTTCCTGGCGGTGTCGGAGGTGGATACAGAGCCGCTTCTAGCGCTGGAGTTCCTACACCGGGTTGTTGATGTGCTAGAGGAGTTCGTCGAGGCGCCGTTGATCTCGACCAAGATCCAGTCGAATTACGATGTGGTAGCTCAGCTGCTACATGAGATGTGCGATGCAGGGCTAGTGTGCAATACGGAGCTCAATGCGCTACAAGAGGTGGTCAATATGCCTGGCTGGATGGGAAAGCTGTTGGGTGGAGTTGGGTTAGTATTCAAGCTGCGGGGTATAGAAGTTGCATACTAACTGGTGGTTGCTCCAGGTCATCGTCTTCTGCGTCGTCATTGGGAGGTCCTAATTCCTTGAAACCACCATTGTCGTCAGCCGCTTCCCAGGGTCCTGCGATTCTGTGGAGAAGGCCTAATGTCCGGCATACGTCTAATGAAATATACGTCGATATCGTTGAATCGCTCTCCGTTACAATCGCACCCTCCGGACGTCTGCTCTCCGCGCTGGTCTCGGGGACAATTGCATTCACGGCTAAGATATCCGGTGTTCCCGACCTGCTTCTATCGTTGACAACTCCCGGAGGACAACAAGCTATTGGGCAGAAGATGGATCTACCAGTGTTCCATCCGAGTGTCCGACTAGCAAGATGGAGGGAGCGGCCAGGGGACCTTAGCTTTGTCCCTCCGGATGGTCGTTTTATCCTCGCAGGTTATGGGGTAGACCTTCTCCCCATTGACCCGGACCTTGACGAACCGCCGAGCCACATGGAGAAGGTCTTCCTACCCGCTTTTGTGGACATGCGGAAGTCATTAGGACCGACAGGCTCCGAATTCGAGGTCCGGTTGACCCTCAACACGAGCTTCCCGGGCGTCGCACCTGCTACACGACCAGGAATAGGACGTGCTGGCTCAGGCACATCGACGCCTTCATTTCTCGGCGGTGCGGGAAGCGGCACCCCCTCTGCACCAGTCTTGGACGAAGTCGTTGTCACAGTACCAATACCCCAATCCGTCCGGAACATCACGGACATGCAAGCCAGCCGGGGCGAGGCCATATACAACCCCGGGAGCGACGTCCTCGAATGGCGTGTACCGACCAAAGACGCGGGAACCGTCTCCGGAACAGCAACACTCCGATGCACCGTCAGCGGCTACCAAACAGGCGACGAAGATGCGGAGGATGAAGCAGCCGAAGCAGACACAAACCTCTTACAGGGCTACTACGACCCCTCGACATCCTACCAAGATGGTACGGACCCATCCGTCCGCAGGAAACGCAAAACAAAAAAGAAGAAAAAGACCAAGAAGGTCTCCTCTAAATCCAAACATACCACCACAGACGACCAACAACAACAGTCAGAAACACAAGCAGAGCTCTCAGATCTGCACCTCTCCATCCCACAATCCCCAACACCACAACAGTCCTCCCCCCTGGCCTCTTCCCCATTACCCCCCTCCTCCCCTAAACCTACATCCCCACTGCCATCATCACAACCATCCTCACAATCGATTTTCCGCCCCGCACCACGCAAAACAAAAACCCAACTCAACGCCTCCTTCATGCCAAACTCCGCATCTGTCTCCTTCGTCGTCCAGGGATGGCTTCCCTCGGGGATTAAAGTTGACAGTTTGAACATCGATCCTAGACGGAGTCGCGGGCTAGGTGAGGGCGTAAGGCCATATAAGGGGGTGAAGTATTTGTGTGTTAGTCGGAGGGGGGTGGAAGTAAGGTGTTGATGCCTCGTTTACTTGCTGAGGAGCGTGTGCTGGATCTAATGGTGATATTGCTTGGTTTGGCTTGGATATCTTGGATGGTGATGCATTTATCCATCACATCAATGAATAATGAAGAGCATTTCATGAAAGTCTACTTAATCGCAAATCTATACTTGCTCTATTCAAGTATCACTGTCAATTTCCATCTAGTCTATTAGGTAGGCGCAGAGAGTTTATATTTTTACTGACCTCTCGCGCACCTCATTCAAACCTGCACATCTGGCGAACAATAAGCCTTATCCTCATAAGCCCCCAGGAGCTCCGCAAGTTTCTTCTTCGGCGGAGCGTACGCCTCGATCCACTTATCAGCGCTCCTTTTGCACTCAGAAGTAAACCGACGATCATATTCCTAATCTATAGGTAAGCTCATAATGGACATGAAGCCCTCAGCAACCGACTACACACCTTCCAGTTAATTTCATTCTCTTTGATGCCCCCAGAATAGAATCTATCTCGAGACTGGATGTATTTTCACAGATGAATTCATGTTTCAGCAGAGAATCAACCGCGGCAGTGCGATGGCGCATAGGGATAGAAGGGGTGTGGGCTTCACTGTGTTGAGGTGAATTGAATATGTAGTGAGACCTAACGAGAATGTTGGAATACCGCAGAAAAAATAGCAATCATCTGTTTCCCCCACATGGGTGTGAAGGGCGGATGATTGCCATTGATCGATCGGATCACCATGACTGGAAAGGCATTATCCGCTACACTATTAGTGCTGATCAGTGATAGTCCATGTATACTGACTCAGTTCCAGGTGTCTCTGCTTGAATCATTTGTCTACTGTACGCTTGCCAGTAACCAAGGAAGCAAGAGAAACAATTCATTTGCGGAGCGAAGCTGATTGCTCGTACTATCGTACATAGACTACCGCCAACCTTATCTCGTTTCATCTCATTCTTTTCCATCTCATGAGTAACCTCCCTAAAACTCATTAGACAATTTCCGACGTCAATAAATAGACAAAAGGAAAAGAAGAACGATCCAATTATAGTTCGCATGTATATCAAAATCCGGCCGGCTTAGAGCTTCGCTCGGCGTTCGAGAACCCGCATGACAACATAGGCCACTGTTATGTGCAAGTAAGATTGTAAGTACATGATAAATAGACAGGAAATATGTGCATATGTATATCGAAAGAGCGACAGTGATTAGGAAATAGGGGATTATATCGATAGATCTAGGGTATGGGTGGGTATATAAGGGTATCCAAAATGAAAGACGACGGCGCAGGCACAACACAAGGAAATTAGTCGAGCTGAGAAGACAGGGGCTCCGATGGTAATCATTGTCGGTCGTCTGATGAATCAAAATGGCCGAGTGAGAAGTCTGCAATTTGCAACAATGGAAGTGCAGGGTAGGACAGGGTAAGGCAATGATGCAATAATCCAGAAGGACATTCCAAAATATAGAGCCCAAAGAAAATAAAAGAAAAAGAAAGAAAGTTTACTCACCTGCAGCAACTGCAGCGGCTCTCCCGGCACCAGCCGTAGGACTTCCACCACCAAGAGTGAAAATCATCCGCAACCAACCCATGCTAAGCTTCTTTCCGTCACGGTCGAAGTCGGGAACCAGTGTACTGGCAGCCCGGAAGGGACCAACCTTGCCGGAGTACGGGGGGTAGCGGATGGCGAGAATCGATTCAAGCCAGCTGGGACTGGTGGTTATGGGGCGACGGTGAACGAAGGTGTCGAAACTGGCTCTGCCACGGTAGGCACCGTAACCACTTTCACCGACACCACCGAAGGGAAGGGTGGGAATGTGCAATGCGGCGTCGTTGACGGCGGCACCACCGGAGCGGGTCATCGAGAGGACTGAGGCATCAATTAGTCGAGTTTACGCATGCAGCATTTTTTCAAAGAATACTCACTTTTGTCTGTATCCTGTTTGGAACCAAACGGGTAGAGACCCAAAGGAGTGGCCTGAATGCCATTGGCAATTTTGACAGCCTCATCAAGGTCGTCCACAGGCAGAATAGGAATCAAAGGACCAAAGCTCTCTTGGATCAACAACGAGTCATCGGTGGAGTTGACCTCAACGATAGTAGGCTCAATAAAGAGCTCCTTCTCGTCCATAGTGCCACCAACCAAGATCTTGCCCTCGGAATTGTCAATCATAGACTTGAGCTTCTGGAAGTGACCCGCGTTAATCATACGTGAGTAGTCGGGAGATGCCTTAGCTCCCTGCGGGTAAAATTCATTGTACGCTTTCTTGAACTCCTCCACAACGCGGGGGACAATCGCGCGGTCGACGAGAAGGTAGTTCTGCGATGTGCAAAGCTGACCAGCGTTCATGGTTTTACCCCATAGCAGACGACGGGCGACGAGTCTCGGGTCCGCGCTCTTGGTAATAATCGCGGGGTTGATTCCTCCCAACTCCAGGACGACGGGGGTGAGGTGCGGAGCGGCCGCCTTAGCGATGATACGACCAACGTTGGCGCCACCGGTGAAGAATATCTTGTCCCAGCGCTCAGCAAGCAAGGCCTGGGTCTCGGGAATGCTACCCTGGATGATCTTGTAGCAGGAGGGGTCGAGAGCCTCCTCGACGATCTCCTGAATGATGACGGCACTTCTGGGGGCGTTCTCACTGGGCTTGATGGCCACGGTATTTCCACCAGCAATGGCACCAATTACGGGACCCAGGGTCAATTGGAAGGGGTAGTTGAAAGCTCTGTATGTTTCCCAATCCATTAGTCCAGCTCCAGACCCCACAGTTATTATCCGGAGTAACACACCCAATGACCAACACCATACCCAACGGATCCTTCCGAATTTTGGGGCTCATGAACTTGTACGTAAGCTCGATATCCTCAGCCTTCTCATCCTTGGCCCATTTTTGCAGATTCCGCGACACGAATACGCAGTCGTTCTCCAGCCAGCCGCTCTCCGCAATGATGGTCTCGAAGGCAGGTTTGTTCAAGTCCAACCGACAAGCTTCGGCGATTCTGTCTTCGCGGTCTTTGATGCTATCGAGCGATTTGATTCAGCGTCAGTCAGAAATGAAGAGTGAAGAGAACTCACGCCCAGTAGAGCTTGCGGAGTTGGACCAGACGGAACTCGACATCGCGGGTCTTGTGCTCCGAGAAGGTCTGGCGGAGCTCAGCAACACGCCCCTGGATGTCGTCGAGGGGCGTATACTGCAGTTCGGGGATATCGATAGCACCCATCGTGAATTCTAGAAAACGTAGAGAAAAGGAGCGAAAACGTGGTGAAGCAGAAGAGGAAAGGAAAAAGAAGAAAAGCGAAGCGTGTACTAATATAGGAGACCGGATGTCCGTCCCTCTAACCAATTGCGGGAAGATTTAAGATGAAGCCCCGTCAGGATATCCACCGTATTTATACTAATCCAGCCAAGCTTCCGTCGCATGGAAATTTCCTCGCGTTCTTTTCTGTTTCTGGTGAGTTGCAAGTAACTTTAGCTTCCCCTCACCAGTCGATCCTCCTCTGAACCGCGGTTATTGCGGGTTCGTTAATCATAAGATACGCCCACCACTAGTATATATTATGAAGATCCTTTAGAACACCAACCTCGGGGTTTACTTGCTGAAATTTCTACTACGTACTGACAAAAAACTGTTAATGTTGCTAATCAATGCATTATAGACACTAGGTATATTTTCTCCCCGAAGGAAGACAGAAACAAATCATGAACAGCCCATATGAACCAGAAAGGAAAAAGGTCATCTAATATACAAATTAGACCAGAAAAAGATTAACCATCGCTAAATTATGCCTTGAACTGGTCCTCCGTCACACCCTTGCCCATAGCAGCCGTGCTGCTGATACCTCCCGAAACCATCTTCAACATGTTGTCCACGTAGTTAGCACCGCTCCATTTCTGGTGTGTAACCACATCGACGCCCCGCTCCATTTCGGGCTCCTGCACCAGTTCGCCGTACGCCCGCATACCCTGCTTCGAGTACGCGTGCGCGAACTGGTCCGAGATGAGTGCCGTCGTGTGCAGACCGGCCAAGGTGATGAACTGCCAGCAGTATCCGAGCTCACCGAGGCGATGGATGTAGGTCTCCTGCTCGTCACGAGGCATGGCCTTCTTCCAGTTGAAGGATGGCGACAGGTTGTAGGCCAGCTTCTGCTCGGGCCAGACGGCGTGCACACCGTCTGCGAACTCCTTGGCCTGCTTGAAGTCGGGGAGCTTGCTTTCCATCCAAATGAGGTCGGCGAAGGGTGCAAAGGCAACCGCACGGTTGACGGCACACTGGGTGCCGCCACGGTAGCGGTAGTAACCCTCACGGGTACGGGCAGAGTCCCAGTCCCAGTAGATGTCGACACCAGTAATGCCCTTGGCGATGGCACGGGCCTCGCTGTTGTTCTTGCCCTTGACAGCCTTCAGGTAGTCGTTGATAAGACCGTCCTTGTTGACGTGTACACCACTCTTGATAGTGTCAATGACAGCCTCGTCGAAGAGCTTGAGGCCAGCCTGAGCGTTCCACTGGTCCTCAATGGCCTGGAGGTCCTCTCCAGACTTACCAGCTTGCTCAGCAGCCACCATCAGGTCGTTCAGAGGCTGGAGACCGGGGTTGGTAGATCCGACAATGAAGGGGTGGTCACGGAAGTCAATGGTAGAGGTGATGAGGGTAGCGGCTTCGGAGTCGGTACGGGCGATGGCAAGGAGATCCGAACCCATGATATCAGCCTGAGCACGGATGGCAACAAGACGATTGATATGCTCGCTGATAGGCACCAGGACCTTTCCGGCCATGTGTCCACACTTCTTGGTACCGGGAGCCTGGTCCTCAATGTGAATACCAGCAGCACCACGTTCAATGAACAACTTGGTCAACTTCATGACAGCGGTCAGACCACCATGGCCGGTGTCCGCATCAGCAATGATGGGACGCAGATAGTCAACGTTGGCAACTTTTTGGCGTTGGTCCTTGGGGGTGGTGATGCGCTCCTCGCGCTGTTTCCGGTCATGGAACAGCTGAGCCATCCAGAGGTGGTTGACCTTGTTCGGTACGGTGTTCTAATCACAACCATTAGTTACCATTCACTAGACACAACCAATGCTCTCAAATACTCACCATAGGGTAGTCTGCAAGGTCGGGGGAGGGTTCGTCGGTTGACGAAGCGGTGGAAGAGCTTTGCCAGCCCGATACGTAAACGGTGTCGAGGTACTTGGCCATCTGGGTGACCATGGTAGGTTCGAGACAGCCATAGGTGTAGCTTGGGACCTTGTTCTATTGAGAGCACATAAATTAGCACGACTAATACCCTCATTTCTCCTGAGCCTTCGAGGACACGAACCTTGAAATTATGCTCGAGGATACCCCAGAGCTTCTTGGCCTGGACGTTCGAAGGGTAGTCGATCGTCATGGTCCCACGCTTGGCCACAATCTGCTCAGCTGTGAAGGGACGCTTGGTGTACCTCCATCTTGAGTCTTGCCACCAAGCCTTGACATCGTTAACCTCCTCCTGGTACTTTTTGTCCTCGTCTTCAAAGAAGCCCATGGTGCCGGTGGTGTAGAACGAAAAGCAAGAATGAACAATAATGTAACCGTATGGGTAACTTTCTCAAAAAAAAAAAAAAACCCCCAAAGAAAGACAAATCTGGGGAAGAAATAAAGTAATGATTAAGAGAAAAGGAAAAGAAGAAGTCAGAGAATTCAAATCACAAGGCCCGACGAACCCAGGGTACTTATTAGTACCCTGGGGAGCCGGCATGGCGAATGCGTCAGAAGGATTATTGTCGGTAAACACTCGGGTCTGCGGGTAACATGCGGGCCAAGACGAGGGAAAGACCCAGACAAGATGATTAACCTTGGGTGTTGTAACAGAGTTCACAAGCTGGGGTTGTGGTTCGGAAGAGAGGATCGAAACATCACCGTGATCCTCGGTCTAATGGGTCATGTCCGGGAGCCTTTTTTGCCTGCGGTTGCCACTTTGTGGCGATTCTGCCATGGGATTGAAATTGAATGAGCATGGCTATTGAGGTAGTGTTTTGTCTGCTATACACTGTAATTGAGATACATTTGCTCTTGCTCTTGCTCTTGCTCTTGTTCTCTGTTGTCTCTTTTCTGTCTTCACAAGCAAATATCGCGGAGGTCAAGTACCGATAAGCACGGGTGACGTCGGCCACATGCACTTATCCGGGTTACAATACGTGACAATACACCGAAACCGGTAGTATGGAAGATGCCATTGAGTCACTGTGTATCTCATTTGACTTTAGCTTATGGATTTATGTATTTGTATATCGTAAATCACCATATATCCAACAGAGTAAACAACTTTTCTTCTGTCGCGTGTTGAATTCGCCAATATAGAAGCACGTATAGATCAGTCAATTCCCCGGTATCACCCCTCCGCATCCGGTAACATACCCATCGGCCCGCCATAGATTTAGGGTCTATACGGAAGACAAGTACATAGATGAGGAGTACGTCGGACAGATCCCGTGCTGCTCAATTAATGACCGGAACCTCATCACATTGTAGCCAGCCCGTACGGAACATTCGAATGGAAGTTGACCTTGTCTACATCGTACCTCGGCAACTCAACAGCCAATCACAAGCACATCGAACCATCCGAAGTATGCTCGTCGCAGCCAAGGTCTCTGCATACTTGGCTTGCTCGGTGTTGTTTTGGCGCGAGATCGGAAAAATCAGGAACGAGATCCTCGATAGTTGCGATTGTCGGAGGCACTGGCTATATTAACGTACGTAGTATGATACAAGGTGCTGGATATGAGTCAAGTAAGGAGGCAATTGCGGTAGCTGCGGGAAGTCAAAGGCGGATATGGAGAAGCCTCGGACTCTGTAGTCTGTTGTTGATTCTGTGCCTGGTGGAATATGGAGTAGACCCAGTCTGTCTCCAAAGCTCCGGGCTTCGACGGTGCAAACCCAATATAGAGAACGGTGGATTTTTAGTAGCTCGTATCATTCTACTTACATACAATGAATTTAAGGGAAACACCTCAGCAAGACGACATTCGATTCAAAATGGCATGTTATTGTCCATCCTATATCATCACGGTTTCCTCCATTTCCAATCGGAACATTCCTGTCAAATATCACATCCAGCATAATTACTTTCCCGGTCAATTTGACCCTCACCAATTCATGCAGATGGGAAAAAAATACCCCATCTCAATTCCTGATGGTCTTATACACAAGTACACCAGTAGCCCAGACACGCCAAGTTAGAATAGAATTTTGATTTAGCTTAAAGCGTCGTCACTTTGCTCCATGGCATGGCGGTAAGTCTCATAAGGAGTGATGGCTCCAAGAGACCTCCGCATATGAGCGTTGAGAATTTCCAGACCGTATACATAGCTAGCATTGACCCAGCCGAACCTGCGAAAGAACAATATGTTAGACAGATTTCCCAGTGCAATGTGTGGTGTTTATGGAAAAATACTCACCCTTCGCGAGGTGCACCCTTAAAATCGACACCTTGGTTTCCATATTCTGCATCTACTCGATGGGGATCAATCGGCCGCGTAACATCATATTTCTCGACAACGACACCATTAAAGTCGACAAAAGCCTTGGTGATCATAAACAACCACTTGTACGCCAGTCGTTTGGCTTCTTCCTCATATCCATAGCGTAGTAACCCTGCCCAAGCAAGCATCTGCTGCGGCGCCCAGCCATAGGGAAAGTCCCATTGTCGATTGGGTCTCTCCAGCCCGACGGGGCCGCGCGAGTCTTCCGTGCCGGAAACCAGACCACCGTAGGCTTCAAACCGAGGAAGTGCCTTCTCGACCATATCTGCCGCTTGCCGTGGTGTAGCAAGCCCTGCCCACATCGCCCAGAAGGTGGTAGCAGTCTCGTAAGAGGTGCGCTGCTTCTTGGCGGTATCATAGTCGAAGAACATACCGTTCTCCTGGTCCCACAGATGAGAGTCCATTCTCATCTTTCGTCTTCTGGCACGGCGATCCCACACGGCTGACGATTCATGTGTGGTATCTCGGGAAGATTCAGTACGGAATTCCTCCGGGATATCCAGTCGGTCATTGAAATGTGTCCGGATTATCATGGCAATATCGACCTCATATTTGTACAGGAGTGAGTTCAAATCCACCGTAGCAAGATTGGCGCACACCTTCTCCAGACGGTAAGAGGTATCGTGACCTGACTCGCGGACTGCTCTGTCATGCAAGAAATACTCGTCCAGTTCTGGTTCTTCGATTTTGCTATGGTTGTAGGCCTCGACAAAGTCCCTGAACTCCATGCCGTGCTTCTCCGCATAAGGGGTAAGAATGTGAGTGAAGTGACTCGGTTCGGTCTCTGGTGGCACCCCTTTCCCTTCCGGACGATACCTGGACAGACCGGTCTCTGGATCGAATCGTGGTGCTGAGACCCATACACTGTAGTACTCCTTGATGGCAGCGAGAGTTGCGTTGCGGAGAAACTCCTTAGCATCAGGCTCGGTCTTGATCCGGTCATATACGCGGAGCGCCATATCGGTCAAGAACGGTGGTTGAGACCGAGAAAGGTAATAAGTGCGATTGGCATTGAGAATTTTGCCGTAATGCTTGATACAGAAACAAAAGTTGATCACCATCGCTTTGGCAAGATCGACTCTGTCGCTGACGATCAAGCCCAAAGAAATCATATAGCTGTCCCAGCCATACAGTTCGTTGAACCTACCTCCCGGGACGACAAACGGCACACCTATGAGATCTTCTTTCATAGTCGATTCGTTGTACTTCGGGTGCATGGCTAGCGCCAACAGCCCGGGCTTATTATTGAGATCCTTAACATACTCAGACGTGATATTCGAGTCAAGCAGCTGCACGTCGAGTCGCAGCTCGGGGTGATCTTTGGCAATGCCCCTGTAATACTCCAACTGCGCCGGGGCACCTGGCGGAACGTAGATTCTAGGGCGCGGATCGCCAGTCCAATCCTTGGGATCACGACCAGCCTCTCCGATGTTGTGGCCGTCAATCCGTCGAGTGAGGGCTTTCCAAAATGAGTTCTTGATGAGGCGAGAAAGCCGTGCGACCGGGTTCTCACTCAGACGTTCCTCATCCAAGATAATATGTTTTCGGTCATAGTCTTTGGCAATGGTTAGCTCCTGTAGCAGGTTGGAGAGCATGTATGTTCCTCGTAGGTCGAATCGATTATAACCGCCGGATGATGCAGTTCCAACCGCAAGCACCTGCTTAATGTTAATGACTGTCTTCAAAAAAGTTTTTTCAATGCTGTATTACTTTCGGTCCAACATCCTCAATTGTTATTTGCATGTTCTTATCCGTGTCTTCTCTCTCCAATAGATCATGCAATGTCGCATCGACATCAATGAGAAATTTCCGAGGCTGAGCAGACGTCGCATCTATGTGAGAACACAATTAGTATATCGCACCAGGATGAATAAGCTGTATGACATATACACACCATGACTGCCTCTTCTTGCTGGAAAATGACCCAGGTAGTTGTCAATATCCTCACGGTTGAACGCTTTCAAGCTCTATTGTACATTAGCCAGCTGAACCTTTCATGTCTCCTCCCAAAGCTGCCTTACCGTTGAAAACGCACGCCTGCGGTCTTTAAACCTGTTGAGGACATTATCATCTCCATAGTACACATCTGCATCTGACAATGGGTCGACAGAGCTGATCCGTCGGTGATGATGGGGATGCGCTTGAGAAGAGCTCATTTTTTGAATTGTCGAGAGGAAAAGAAAACCGAGAAATTCTGGTGATACAGTGACAAGCTAAAAAGCTAGCACTGGGAAGAGGGTTGCTTTGTTGTGTAGGACCAGTCAGGATGCCTTTTGGAAGCGAAATGTTTTCCAAACAATTGATATCAAGGACGCCTTCAATATAATATATGGCACGAAGAGAGGAATAAATAGGAACGAGGGTGCAGGAACAACGCAGACACAGAGCTGGCTTCCCGGAGAGATAACGCCCGCAAAACCCGTTGCCAATATCCCTTGTGTATAGGAGCGGAGGATGGAAATAGAACAGAGTAGAATGTTAATCAGTATCAGCTGATCAGAAAAAAAAAAAACACAGTCTCACAGATTCGGTGCATTCGGTGTGCAAGAGCGTGAGGAATGAATGAATTGGAATGAATGGAAATGCTGGACTCGCGGCGGCGGTGATGCTATGACGGCAACCCACCTATGATGTCGCCGCTCCACCGCCGCCGCCATCAAGATTCATCGGATTATCTTTATTCGTGATAGCTGATGTAGGTATTGCTATATAGCGTTCTTACATCAGATGATGATATATTATTGTTATCGAATCTCTTACATATCATTTCGAACAATTGCAAGTCGGTTTTACAAAAGCAGCCAGCCTTAAAAGGATACTCCGTGTTTTGGGCTAGATTGCATGGCCTAAAAATAGATGACATTCCTATACGAACACCGGGTGCTTACAGCTTAGAACCAACAAGAGTTCCACCATCCAATGCGATGGTTGCGCCGTTCACAAATGCACCGGCACGGCTGCTCAGGAACAGGCACGATCCAGCAACATCTTGAGGTGTGCCGATCCGGCCCAATGGGATACCCGCTTCGATGGTCTCTCTGTAAGCCTCCAGCGTAGCAGCCATCATCTTGCTTTGGAATGGACCGCAGGCCAACGAGTTGGACCTATTGGATAAAACTAGGGTCAGCAATCTGAATGCAGCCGGTAACACGGGGAACACAAACGTTATGTTTCTTTTGCCAAGATGGTTGGCCAGCACCCGACTCAGGTGGTGCAGGCCAGCTTTGCTAGCACTGTATGCGAAGGTCTCAAGTGCCGGAACTCTTAATCCATCAACGCTTCCGATGTTAATGATTCGGGCGGGGTCGCCAGTAGTGGCGGCCTTCTCCAACAACGGCGTAACGAGTTTTGTAATGTCGAAAACACGTTGAAGGTTCAACGTAAGGACCCTAGACCAGGCAGAAGATGGGTATTCATCGTATGGGGCACCCCAGTTCGAGCCGGAGTTGTTGACAAGGACGTGGAGCTCTAGGGAGACGGATCAAGTCAGTCGAGTTTGACCTCGTAAATGCCAATCATATTACCAATAACCATGGAACTTACTGTTCTCTCGCTTCTTGAGCTCGTCAGCCAATCTCTGACATTCCTCCTCCTTGTAGAAATCTGCCGGGATGGCGTGTGCTTTGCCCTTTCCAAGCGCATTGAGCTCCTTTACCGCTTCGTCGCAAGACTTCGCATCACGAGATGAGATGTAGACAGTAGCGCCGTTGGCTACAAATCCTTCAGAGATCATACGACCAATACCCTTCGCACCACCGGTAACCAGCACCACCTTGCCCTGGTAATCGTCAGCTAACAATGAAAAGGAAGCATGGCGTCCGAATAACACGAACCTTGACGTCAAAGAGATTCTGTGTATCCATTGTTACAGCAGTATGGTGTTGAATAAAACAAAGAGAAGAAACTTATGTTTCAAGAGCAAGTCAGAACAATCAAGGAGGATGGAAATGATCCATTTCGTAAAAAGGCCTTTCTCCTCATGGTCCAGTTGCTTTTGGAGTAGCCGACCGAAAGCTCCGCAGATACCGAGGCTCAGGGGGACAGGAGCAAGAGATAATCCGGGAAGGGACGCTATTCTATTTTGGGATTTAACTAGGCCTGGTATGTCAAGGTTTTGCGGGGCAACTCTCCTGGCAATTCAACCGCCTGACGTCCATAACAACAATTCGCTCGTTTCGACGTCTCTCTTTATCGCTAAACCTCCTTCTTGTTATTAGCTTATACATATCATCTACAAGATGGAGGAGTTACTGAGCAAGCACCGCAAAGAACAAAAAGACCTTCAAGCACGCATCACGCAGAAGAAAAAGGCCGCCACCAAGAAAACCCGGAAAGGAATCAACGATGAATGCGACCGGAGTCAACAGGAGCTCATTGAGAAACAGCAGGCAGAAGTCGCACAATTGAACGGCGAGAATGCTGCTGGAGTTGATGGGATTCAGGATCTCAGCATTGAAGACCCTGTTGACGAAGACCGACGGAAGAATAGCTCGAACGACATCCCCAAAAACACGGGCGCCTCCGATACCACTTCCTCTTCGATCCCTTCACAACAATCTGCCATGCATACAAAGAAGCCAAACCGGCAAAAAGCCCGCCTTGCTCGACGCGCAGCTGAACAAGCGGCCCAGACAGAAATTGCGCATGAGGAGGCTGCTAGATTGACCGATCACCGTGGAAACGAAAAAGAAATCATGAATGGTGTATTTAAGCGATTTAATCTCAAGGAGATTGAAGTGAATCCCGACGGGCATTGTCTCTACTCCGCCATCGCCAGCCAACTAGACGAGTCAGGACTTGGGATGAAACCTGATCCAAAAAGGATTGCCCTTCCGTCTACCACGGAATCGCGGGTGGAGACAGTCTCTTCGCCAAAACATGACGGTTATCGCGCCATTCGAGCAGTTACCGCTGATTATATCGCTGAGCACAAAAATGATTTCGAGCCGTTCATGGAGGAGCCTTTGGACCAGTATACTCGGAAGATCAAGCTTACGGCCGAATGGGGAGGACAGTTGGAATTGCTAGCTATTGCCAAAGCCTATGGTGTCGAGATCAATGTCATCCAAGGAGATGGCCGTATTGAGAAGATCGAGTCCGGGGACATGGAGAGCTTTGATGAGGAGGAGAGAAACAAGCGTGTCATTTGGTTAGCTTATTATCGACACACTTATGGTCTTGGAGAGCATTACAATGCACTCACCAAACAAGCTTAATCACGACGCTAAGTGTGGCTATTCAACTCCTCGAATTGCCCCGATCTGGCTTCACTTGAGCGGCACAACGGGATATATCTCCTAAAAATCATATGTTGAGCATATGCGAGATTAGAAACCGACGTGATAGCTACAGCGGGCCTGCACTATAATACGTTGCTTGAACACATTTCCTGCCAAAGTTGACGGGGTTGTCTTCCGTCTTTCTGCGCTTTGTGCGCAGGGAAATCGCCGCCGTCATGTGACGGTCTTGAGAATTGTGACCTCTATTTCTACAATCATCATGCCATACCCATCTCAACATCACCGTGAAACATGGGCGGGCTATCTTTCTGGTATATATAGCAAGAAATGACACCCTGGTGGTAGCCGCTGACGCCAGGAGATATTCTCTGTATCTTGATCTGCTATGCAGAATAGATATTTGCATTGACATCAGTTGGATATAGAACTGCATGACTACAAAATAGCTGGAATGGAATCTGAAGACCTCAAGCTCTCCTATCCACTCAATCACTACTATTGAGAATCAACGTTTTTTCTATCCACTCATCTTATGGGTTTTTAAATCACTTTCTATGTTAGGGGAATTTATTTCTACGCTTCACTGAGAAGTCCGGTATTTGCTCCTGTCTACCTCTCTGCCCACGAACTCTTGAAAACCAAGCAGACTGCTGCTGGACCTTAACAGCCATCAGACAAACGCTACCCTTCCAATGGCAGTTCGTCTCGATATATATTTCCGTACATATCCAAGTACTAAGGTCATTTGGGTTTAAATCGTTTGGCAATCTGCGATGCTATAAAGAAATCCGATCACCCAGGGGGGTTTTCTTTCATCAAAGCCGCGCTGTCAAGGTCGGTAAACTTCGTGATGGATTTTTGAGGATGGCTTGAAATGCGATTTGACAAGCTGTGAAGCTCGATGCCCAAACGGTATATCCAATTTCAACGACCACGGTCGAATGAAAACCCACAACCCTGGTTATTGCCCACCGTACAGTCCTGGATGGTCGTGGAGGTGAACCATTGAAAGAACGAGTTATAAAGACCCTCGCTTTGGAGGAGTTCCAGCTCCTGCGTGTGGGTGACCCTCTCTGACCCGACAGAATGGGCGTTCCATTAAGACCGAAAATGTCAGGGCCTTAGAAGATATCAACAACACGCGAATTTGCTCACATCTGGGTTCAAGAAGGTCCCCGACAATGGGAATGAGCATATTAAAATACATTTCGAGGATGCTTTGATTGACTTGTGTTTGCGTTCGCACACAACAGTCCCTTCTGCCCAAGATACTTCAGCCTGGAGCAGGGTGCTGGTTTTTTCGATGCTGATCTAATGTTACAGCAAGAGACCTGGCGCTCGGGTGATGACTATGACACGCCCTGCAAGGTATACATATCGCGACTGCAAAAACTTTTGATGATCTCGGTATTCCGAAAAAAATTGCTACACTTGGAAGCCCCCATCAGACTCCATGCTAAAGCTTAGTCTCCGACCCGAGGCCCCACTAGCCCCAATGGCGAAAATTCTCCATAAAGGCTTAAATGCCGAAGGAAACATGGGATATTCGTTTGGTTTTGCAATATTCCGCACTGGTTCATTCGACCATGTATGAGTAACATCGACATCGGCTATCGAGAAGCTCCTTGACTTGCCGACGTTTAGGAAAAAAAAAATCCACGGATGGAGCGGCACATGGTTCCTGACCGATGATTGGCGCTGGGCCTGGCATCAAGCAATTTCGAGATCCACGCGAAGAGTCTTGCTAAGGTTTCCGCGGTCTGAAACGCACTTCCGAACCATCCTTTTGTACCGAGTACGGGGTAGTGGTTGTGGAGAGAGGAGGGGTCAGCAATGCTAATCAATACAGAAATGGCGTTATTCCGCTGTCAGGGCTCCCAGGTACGATTATTTCTGTAGTTCTGAACATATATGTTTTTTGATATTGGAGACAGTCGGGGCTGAGGGGCACTTGCCTAAAAAACTCAAGTTTCAACAGTGGAGAGAATGTGACAGACGCCTTCCCTTTTCGGGTAGAAGCAAGAGATAAGGACCTTCTTCATAGACTCTGTTCGGATTTTTTTCTCTTTCTCTCTCTTCTCCTCTCGAATGAAATCTCCCATTTGCTTTTATCATCTTTCCTCCTTTGATTGGCGTCCATTTTCATTAGAGTATATCGGCACATCTTCATACTTCTTCGTATATCGCCATTTTCGTCTGCAGAAAGACTCCGATTGCCTTACTGGCTGCCGGTTCATCCTATTCTTTCTTCACTCTATATCAATCCATTTAGCGTTCTGTTGCCGTTATCAGTTTTTTCTTTTTATGAGCCGATCGATCACCAAAGCTGGTGTACCGGAGCTGCGAGTATAGAAAATGGCTTCTGGTATGGACGAATCGAGATCATCCACCGCGGTACCGATCGACATTGAACAGCTACCGGCACGAGATGGGGACGAAGAGAAATCCGTAGGTCATGGTCCGCCGGCGGTCGAGGGTAAAGAGCACGACGAGGAGTCGATTGATCCAGGTCCTACCGTGGTGCCGAGATTGCAACGTCGAGGGCTCTTTGGACAATTTACTCTGCTGGCAGAGGTCGAGAACCCCAAACTTTACCCTCGGAAGACCAAATGGTTCATCACGTTCATCGTTGCGGTGGCAGGTGCCACGGCTCCCATGGGAAGCTCCATATTCTTTCGTAAGTAGAGCATTCATTTGGCCGAGTTTGCTGTCGCTGTTTTGACTCTAACTCAATTGGTTAGCCTCTCTGGCCCGGGTGACGAAGGAAATGCATACCACAACTACCATTACCAATTTGTCCATCTCTTTGTACATGCTTAGTATGTCCATATTTCCGCTATGGTGGTCTTCGTTTAGCGAGAGACTTGGACGACGGACGATATACATCGTTTCCTTTTGTCTCTTCGTGGTTTTCAACGTCCTTTGCGCTATTTCCCATAACATTGTGATGCTTATTGTGATGCGAATGCTCAGCGGTGGCGCCTCAGCATCGGTTCAAGCAGTTGGTGCAGGAACGATCGCCGATCTTTGGGACACGCATGAAAGAGGTCGAGCAATGACTACTTTCTATCTTGGTCCGTTGTGTGGCCCCTTGATTGCTCCCATTGTCGGTGGTGCCTTGGCACAACGGTGGAACTGGAGAAGTACGCTATGGTTTCTTGCCGCTTACGGTGGCTTAGTCGCTGCATTTATTTTCCTTGCACTACCCGAGACGTTAGCAAAGCGAAAAGTCCCGGCTATAGTTGAGAGCATTGAACAGACAGCGCCAGTGGAACGCCGATTGAGCCGAGCTTCTTCCAGACAGGTTGTTCAGTTCACGACAAAGTGGCTGAAGATGCTGAAAATGGTGTTCTTGGATCCGCTGAAGATTGTTCTTTACTTGCGATATCCCCCCGTTCTCTTGACAGTGTACTATGCAAGCATCACATTTGGGTCTCTCTATGTTTTGAACGTCAGCATCGAGCACACGTTTGGATATGCCCCTTACGAATTTCCTACAATTATTGTTGGTCTTCTCTACATTCCCAACTCGCTTGGCTATGTCGTTGCGAGCACATTTTCAGGACGCTGGATGGACAGCATCATGCAACGCGAGGCCAGAAAGGCCAATCGATATGACGAGAACGGCAGGTTGATTTATCGGCCCGAAGATCGTATGCGCGAAAACGCCTGGCTCGGTGCTCTTATCTATCCTGCCGGCTTGATTTGGTATGGATGGACCGCTGGCAAGGGTGTCTTCTGGCTTGCTCCGGTAGGTTGAAAGCATTGGTCAATCGCCAAGAGAGTCTTGCTTGCTAACTTGGTGCGTGCGTGGAATAGATGATTGCCAATTTCTTCTTCGGTGTCGGGTCCATGATTATCTTCGGCATGGCAACCACGATGTTGACGGAGTTTATGCCACAGAATGCGTCTGCGGGCGTTGCGCTAAACAATTTCATGCGGAATATCTTTTCATGCGTCGGATCCTTGGTCACTGCACCGATCATAGATGCCATTGGCAATGGCTGGCTCTTTACGATCCTGGGTCTGGTTGCGTTTGCCAGCAGTTCAACCCTCTTCACCATGAGAGTCTTTGGTCCCCGCTGGAGAGAGTCTATGGACGCTCTCACGCAATGAGCTTTCCTGTCCTTCTACAGTCGTCGTGGGAGCCTTATTGTGGTGCCGATTCGACCTCTCTTGGATGGATTTTAGTGGTTGGTTTAGACTGGAATGAGTATCAGATGATCGAAAGGGCGATGCAAATTAATCCAAAAAGAAAAATAAAAGGAACAAACACGAGCTAATGAATACTATGTTGCGCATAGCGGCCATGCCAGTTACTGTCATTTCTGTTAGTGTTTTGGGCGGCGTTTTCCTTGTTTTGTCTGCATATCATCTTGGGCGCTGTTCAGGGTTCGTTGCATGCTTTATGATCAATTGAAAAAAGCAGGTGCTGGTGGCGATTTGAACCATCGAGGTCATGTCATTGAGCGTTTGGTTTTCGGTTGTCTGCAGTTTTGGCATGTGGCTTGAGGATACCCAACACGATGGGCTGGTTATTTTTAGTTTTAATAATACGAAATGAATGAGACTAGTTTGCCCCGGTAGTTAGGCATACGAAGACATGGACATGGATATTTATAGTCATAAACTGATAGCTATTCGGACATCAGCATGAAATGAAGATGACGATGTTGGTGAGAATTGGCATAATGGGTTGGGCCTCTACAGATCTTGACCATCAGACACCATTCGCCGGAATTATAGCTTGGTACGATCTTGACAGCCCTCCTTTCTCTTCCATTGCCTTCTTGGGATACCATGAAGTTGGTTGACAGACGACGTGTCGTGTATGGTGGCAAGATAGAGATTCATAGAATGAACCAAGATCGCCCTATAGCAGCTCTGTTGATTATTTTGGGTTGAACTCTTGTGGAGCTGTACATAGCACTGCATGGTGTGCGTCGTCTAAACGGAAGTCAAAAATGATATTGAGGCCACGAATAGGAGTTGGCATGCGGGATACCGGCACATGCATTGTACCAGAAACGGCACCACCAAAGTACTACTGCAGAGCATCATTGATGTATCTTCGACTTCGTAGATCGGGATGGTGTCTTGGGCCCTGTACTCTATGCTTGTAACTGTGGCGATGGGAATCGTTCCCAAAAAGGTCGATGTAGATCACGTGGAACCCCACTCACCGCCTCATTCTGTCGTTTTCGCTTCATCGTCGCTTCCCTCAACGTACAGAGTAGACACCCTTCGTTCTGTATGACCCCTCGTCATTATGGCTACCATCTATACACAATGACAGATGCACAGAATTGAAAATTTACCAGTACTATGATTGCGCCACTGACATTTAAGCTGCAGACGGATCTTGCTTAGAGGGACAAGTCATTGGGAGTACACACGACCAGGTTACCGTCTTAAGATGGATCAAGATGAGATGAGACGATGAAACCAAAGAAAGACAGACACGCTCTCTCAGTCCCAGTGATCTGCTCATCAATTGACCCATTGCTGCTAACTGACCGGGATTACATAGTTGCTGAATTGTCCATCCAGACAGTTCCATCGCAAGTGGAGCTGCATTACAATTAAGTACGGTACTGGCGAGTCAGGATACACGCCTCGTGGTTATTATTGCCCGCTATTCCCTACAATTGGGTGGGAATTTTGACGACGGATTATTGTCGCACTGTTTTCTCCATGGCTACTTTTACCGCTGCTGCCCACTACGCCGGCATTGGGCAGAAATTCCTAATTCCCCATGTCTGACATTTCCGGGTCTCCGCTCTTTGATAGCTACATACCAGCCTCCCGATTTACTCGATTCCGATTGCTTTGATCTGTATTTTCCCATTGCTGGATCTGCGAGACATGCCTCGTTTGTTTCTCGCTTGTAATCAATCAGCTTACGTTCTGTGCTACCTTATCCAGCAACGCACAGCATTCTCTGTACTCGGAAAGTACTCCGTGCATGCAAAAACAGCAGAAATTACGGATCAGTGGCACTCCCCCACTCTCCGGCATACGCTATCCTGCTTTGAGTTTCCATGCTGTCCGCCGGTGGCCACTGCTTGCTCGGACTATCAGCGCACTGCATATCGTCTTGCAGACGGACTGGTTGTTTTGTTCTCGTCGCGACCCTATTGAAACACCCCCCCGGGAGGTATGTATCAGGGTTAAAACTCCCTCAATTGTCTAATCCAGTGAGACGTGGCCCAATGATTGCAAATCCCGTTGGGCAGTTCGTTTATGATGGCCTGGGATTGCAGTTCTCCTCCCAGAGCTCACTGCAGCTTCGGCCCCGTCATGGGTCCCATTCGACTGGGTAACTGACAAACGACGATACGTCGCCTCGCGTTTGGCCTTTTAAGCGGAAAGCTCCACTTAGTTGGCGGAGAGATGGATGCCCATTGCTTCTTTCCTTTCCGTTTTCTTATACATGAATCGTCTGTGACCTTCTTTTCGGCTTTCTTTAATTGCACTCTTATTCCTCGTCTCACCTTTTTTGCCACCCATTTCCTTATAATTTTATAATATCGGGTTCCATCCCAATTCCCTGCCTAGCGCTGGGCAGACATTCCTTCATTTTTCTTTTTCTTTTTTGGTCTATAGTCTCTCATTAGTTCCTTCACTTCCAATCACTTGGGGTAAAGGTGCCTCGTGGTTTAATGCTACGTCATTAATCAAATCGAGGACATGGCCAAAGGTGGAAAGAAAAGCAATAGGAAGAAGAGTATCAATAATAAACAACCACCCCCGGTAATCAACGACGCCAACCTACCTGTCTCTGAACCCATACCTGCAGAGTCCGCCTCCGACGAGAAGGCAGTTGTGGAAGATGGGGTCTTCGGTCCAGTATGCACAACTTCCCAAGTTTGAATATCAAAAAGTCGCGAGTCATTATCAAACCTTCGATCGTCGTACTTTAAAACCCGCATTATATCCTGTCAATTCTACTGTTTCTCGTACGACCCGTCTGACTCCAAACAAGGACCAGGCCGATGGCGATGAACCTAACGAGGCGGAAAGTGCCCCGGCAGGAGATGATGCTGCCGCGCCAGATTCGGGTTAGTGAGATCTTTGTCCTTTTGAATGTTTTTCACTTGTAACTAATCCTCAACACGTTTACAGAAGTAGCCGAAGATGCGACACCACTTGAGGGACCAGCAGAACCAGCCGACGAAGAGGTGAAGCATGAAGCTACACCCAAAGAAGAGGCAAAACCCGAAGAAGAAGCTACACCCGAAGGCGAAGACAAAGCCCAACCCGGTGAAGCTGCACCCGAGGCAGAAGAAGCACCTGCAGCTGATGGTGATGAAGCACCAGTACCAGAAGAAGGTGCCCCCGACAAAAACCAAGAGGAACAACTTGCCGAAGAAGCTCCTGAAGAAGCAGAACCAGTATCTGAAGAGCCTAGTGGGGATAGACCGGCAGCAGAAGAAGCTCCCACAGAAGAGAATGAAGGGGAAGATGATGGTGTGTCATGATCATATCCTAATGTTGGATTCAGATTCAGCTAACCGTTCACAGGGAAAGATGACGCCGTAGAAACTGAACCTGAAGCAACCGAAAATGCTAGTGCAGAAAAGTCCACTCCTGAACCTGCGGATCCACCTGCACCTGAGGAGCCAGCCGCAGAAGAGCCAGCTGCAGAAGAGCCAGC